AGACTTTAAAGTTTAAACACGTCATTTATTTTGACATAGAGCAGTGCAAAAATGTTAATGGATATTTGAGAATTTCCTGTTTAGGAACCAATTATTATAATATGCATTATTTTTCAAGTTAAATATAATATTTTTAATTGTACCAGTAGTGAAAATTATTTTACTAAGCTGTCATGGAATACGACATATTTGACAATCTATGTTTAAAAATAAATAAAATTAATATTTAAATTATTTATTTTGTTAAACATTTCCAAGTTACATTTTCACTAATAAAAATATTTTTTAATTAAAAAAGTTTGACTTTTAAGCTGTGGGGATATGAAAGCAGAATAATCGGCAAATTAATTAATTGCAGAATAATTTAATTCCACCGATAAAGTGGATTTCCGTCTTCGGTAACGTATATATTAATTATTAATAAATATGGAGTAGCTCTTTCAAATTCAGCCAGATGTTTTGCATGTACAGTATGTTAGGTGCATGACAAGATAGCGAGATATTTTCTCCCATAATTCATTAATAAATAATTTTCGATTTCTTTTCCAATACGCAAAATACATAATAGTCTCCTATGGTAAATAATTAATTACGTGTCAATCACGATGTGTATCTTAGGCCCCGTTTGGTAGGAATTTTTTGCCCCAAAAAATTGATTTTTTGACCATTATTTTACTATTCAAGCCGTAATTTTTGACTTCTTCTCTCACATGTGGACCCCACTTTTCTTCTAACGGTCAAAAAATCAATTCTCAAAATCCCTACCAAACGGGACCTTAACCTCATTGCAAGGCAACCTCATAAGGCTGCGTGCGACACATGGTGAAGTTAGTCGCACAAAGGAATTATTTAGGGCATATTTGATCTAAATTTTCAAAACAGATTGAAAAAATTACAAGTCGATGTGCAAAATTATTTTATTGGGAGAATGTATAATTGAAAACAAATTTTAATTTTTTTTTTTTTAAAGAATTTGTATCAAACAAGGACTTAATAGATAAGTGATCGACGTTGCTCCGATTCTATGAGGGAATGCTTTTTATTGACAAAAGCCTATTTTTCATGTAAAGTGTATCAATATAAGAAGAAGAAAAGGAAAAAAAATGAATAATGTGAAACCTTGTCACCATGAACTCTCTCTTGGGAGCAGAGATTTAGCAATGATTTGAGCCCCAATTTTTGGGAATAGATTTCATAAAAAATATAATTTTTATGAAAAAAAAAATGTAGTTAAAAATAGGAACAATGCCCATATGTAATTCATCCGAAATAATAATTTCAATTGTTAGAGATTAATTGGCTTTAACAAAGTAAAGTAATTAAAATAAAATATCCACAAATCAAATTTAAGGTTGTTTCACCTCTCTCGACACTTCTTGTTATGGATGTCTTCTATAATCGTAAGAGAAAGATGGAGTAGAAAAAGAAGTTTAAAATGCAACAATTTCGAGCGTCGTTACATCCGACTTCAAGGCATGTGATGACATTTTCTAAAAAATGTTATTTTCTCCCACCAATTCGGTAATGCACTCAAGTACAAAAATATGTTTCCCAAGATATAATGAAATCTTTTAATGTTGTATGCATTTTGCATCCACAAAAATAACTTGAACACCGAAGATTTTGAAGTCTATCGTCGAAATTTGTACTTTATCCCTGTTGTCAATGAAATACAAACAACGTTTAAGAAGAAATGATGCAAAAAAAGGTTGGTATTTTGGATGCAAGAAAGTGTAAAATATGGCAGGGAGAGAACTGATTTCTATTTCACGAATATTTATCTGAGAACCATTCATCCTATATATAGATTTATTGACAACCCTTTCCACAGGTCACAAACATTGAAATGTGAGTTTTCAACCCTTTTTGACAGCCATTACAATGAGTTCTTGTTAGGGAAAACCGAGTTTTAAAATAGTGATTTTCTTTTTGGGAGAATGTATGGGTAAAAAGTGAGAAAAAGTTTTGAGTTTACGTGTAAAATATTTCATTGTGAAAATGTGTACTTAAAAATGAATTCGAAAAAAAGAAAAGAAAAAGAGTTTGAGCTGAACTTACAACTGAAAATGTCAAAAGAAACGAGCAAAATAGTTTTGGACATGAAGAACCACCATAAACAAGTGCTTTGGTGTGTGCACGATCACCCGGATAGAATCCTAGCACATGCGCTGAAGTACAAATACATTGCCAATCTTCGTGTCCTCGACCCCAGTTCGATCCTTGTGAAATCCACGAACTATAAGTATGTAATTTTTATTTTCAGTCCCTCTTTGATTTCATTTCCTTTACATTAATTTATTTTTCATACTTATTTTCAACCACGTATTGTTTAATCAATCAACTCATGTCCAAAATTGACCTTTTCGAAAATCTACTCTAACGACCACTTTTTAAAAGCACATTTTTTGAAACCAAATGTTTATAGACATAAACATAGCCAAGCAAACATAGCAACATGTAGACATCATCTACATTCAATGGAACGACTTCAAATCATGCCTTTTTTTTTCTTTTTTTCTTTTTCATTTGCTTTTGATTTTCTATTTGTTATTATTACTTTTCTTAATATACTATATCAAACATTTTATCGATAACAATAATTTTTCAACCCTAAATTTTAATTTTATTTGAATTTCTACTCTAATATGCCAGCATGGTACATATCCTTTTAGGGCAACGCTTTGACTTTATGGACACGGTTGGAAGTTTATCGTTGACTAATTACAATACAGGCAAATGAAGAGTCAAGAAAAGACGGGAAATTCATTTCTGCTTGCACACGAGTCATTGTCTCGAGACATTACTCAAGTCAGAGAAACAATCGGGTCGAAAAATCAATTGTAAAAATAATCATGCTATAAATACGGATTTTTTTTACAACAAAATTTTGACAGATAATACTTGACATGACAGTATTGAAAAATGAGAAAGCAAAAGGGCCAAAAAAAGAAAAAAGAAAAAAAAAAGCCAATTAGGTTTGGCCACGTCAATTTTAGATTTTTGTAAGTTTTCTTGTTTGAATTCTGCGCAATCAGGTTACCCAACTTATATTTTCTTGTAGAATTTGGTCACTCATCTTTAATTTGGTGCAATCAGATCATTCGACTTCGATTTGCCTGTAAATCTGATAACTTTATTTACTGTCATCAATTAACTAACTTAATACGTTGAGATTGATGATAAAACTCATATGCGAAATTAAAAACATTATCAGTTCATAAATTTTCTTTTGAAAATGTTTTATTGACATTGGTGATGTGTATTATTGTTCAATGTGGACATACACGTCAATCACCCCCCTTAATCTTGATGTCTCGATCAATATAGTATGTTAGAGTGACAAAATTCAAATCGTAAATGAATTTTCCAAATACAACTTTGCTCAGATATGAACGATCCGCAACACACGAAAAAGTCTAAGAATAATGCTAGTATAAAATAATTGACCGTGCTATTTGTACATTGTCTTTTACACCATTTTTGACATTGTTCCACATGACTGCACATGATTGGACAATTTTTTAATTCCACACACTTTCTCGCCAAATACAATTTGAATTTACACTACATGTCAAATTTCATGTCATTCAAAGAATATACAAGAAGCATTATTCTAAAATAATTACTATAAGTTACCATTAATATAAATGAGGCTAAATATATTCATGCAATAAATTTCTATAACATTGTAATTACATGAAAAGGTCCATATTCTTTAGTCATTTTTACACTTATGTCTTTAACTTTTTTTTCTTCCCATTCTAATTTTCAACATTTTATTGATTAGTATATTTTGTCCATAAATTTCATAGAGATAGAGTCAAAAGATTTATTTGCTTATCGTATTTATGAATAAGAAGAAAAATAATAAATACAAAATTAGGACTAAATATTTATCTCTCGTTTTAAAGAGCGCTAACAAAAATTTTGTACCAAAACTATCATTAAGGATAATATTTGTTAATTGATTAACTATTAAAAATAAAAATATAAAGAAAAAAGATAAAAATATAAATATAACTATGAATAAAATCCAGAGACCTTAAAAAAATTGGGATGTATTTCTTAAAAAATATGGTTTGAAAATAAATTCCCCAATTATAATTATGAATAAGAATGTATTATTGCAACGGAACACGAATACCGTTATTCATCAAAACCATTAGCCAATATAAAGCGTAACAATTAGTAAAAATTTAAGAAAAACCAGAGTAATGGAAATAGTCACGCCAGCTTTCATAATTCGAATTAATTACTTGTGGCATCACTAAGTTTCTGCCACGTATCTATGCCCGATACCTCACCAAATTTTGTGAAATTAAAATCCAATATCACATGGGGATGGGGCCCACTTCACGAGGGTCCCACCCCATGTAAAGGGTGTGGACACGTATCCAAATTATGTATACCCAGCACAATCCAATTACATTCGTGTTTTATTTGTTTGCACAAACTATTGATATAATGTAAAAAGACGTAATCACATATTAAAAAAAAAAAAAAAAGGTTAAACCCTAACTTTAAGGGTCCCCCACCAACCCTGTCCTGAAGCATCGTGAGGGAGGTAAATCGCAGGTTATGCCTCCAAGGGTACAGGGTGGAAGGCTGCTTGTACACTTGCACTTACCCAAGAGCCAAATCCATATTTCAGGATTCGAACCCTTGACGCAGCAGTCTCAAGCAAAGTTGGATTTCTCCACCCTCCTCTTTTACCACTTGGAGATGTGCCCTTGGGGCAAGACGTAATCACATATTGATATTATGTTACATCGACCATGGTGGGAACGACTACTAGTTTTGATTGCAACTGCCAACTGTACACTGAATGGTCAAATTGAAATAAAAGTATAATTCCGGCGGTCAGATTGGAACAAATTTAATTTGAGTGACCCACATGAACAGACCTCAAAGCTAGGTGACCTCAAATGAAATGGCGGAAGGTGATCACGTTTTCTTGCACGTAGTCTTTTTCCCTATAAAACGCGCCAACTATTACTCAAAAATCCCGTGAATACACATAAAAGCAAGCATACATTGCATATAGAAAGAAAATTTAATCCGTTCAAAATTTTGAAATCTGATCATCATCACAAACAATTCTTGATCAATACTAAAAAATGGTGATGATTGATCAATATATTTTGGGTGGATTTGTTGCTTCTCTATTTGGATTTGTTTTGTTGTATAACTTGAGAAGAAAGATGAAGAAGAACGAAGGTTCAAAGCTTGTACATAAAGATCAATGCATTAAGACCTCAAATGACGGAATTCACCTGCCTGCGGTCGACGTCGGAAGAACTGACGTAATTATTGTCGGTGCTGGTGTCGCTGGGGCGGCGTTGGCTTATACACTTGGAAAAGTAAGGAAATACATCCTGATTTTTCGCAATTTTATCTCTATTTTTTATCATTTCATGATTTTAATAACAATTTCTGGTTGCTGAAGAAAGATGTTTCAATTTCGTATTCTCTTTGATCATAGGGTTTCCTTTTTGGCGTTATTTGGTGTTTCTCTTGAAGTTATAAAGTGATTTGAATGGTTTCGCATAGAAAATTAACGAAAATTTATTTTCTGTGAATTAGTGTAAATAATGGATTCCGTAACTCATACATTTTTTTCCTTAATTTTCCTGCATTTTCTCATTCAAAGATGCAATTAAATACTTATTTATTTGTTATTTTTCCAATTAGTTGTGAATATATACTTGGACAGTAACAATAATGATGAGTTCATGAATTACCATAAGTCCTGTTATTGCTAGCTTTAGGCTCTTAATATTTTGTGCCTTCAAAGTCTTCTGGTTAAGATCCCTCTCTTTTAAGCAAGCCAAAAGTTGATTTGCTTGCAAGTGTGTAACCGTAAGCCAGTTCTCATCAACTAGAGCATTTGGAAGATTAAGAAACTGAAAGGCTTCTTGATTAGTTTTTTTGTAGATTGTGCAAACCGTACGTATATATAAAATCTTTTTACCATGGCTCAAACAGTCAAGGAAATTTTCCGTGACACTTGATTCCATAGTGGTTTTTAGCCGTGGAAAGCGTAATTCTGTGGATTGTGCACTTTCAACATGTTAAACCAACCATCTGATAGCACAAGCTATTAGAGTGATAACGTATTTATTTATATAAACTCGGTCTTCAACATTTCTCTTGAAGTAGAGTTGAGATTCACTATTCAAAATTGACTGTCCAACTTGCTTTTCATCAATAATTCATTAACACACCATTATATACCTATTTTAAAGCACAAGTGGCAGTGAAAGAAACATTGGACATGATAATTTGAAGTGATATGCAATTAATCATTGGGTGAGCAGCAAGTTGGACAGTAGATCTCAACTCCTTGAGAGTTGAGTGTATTCATTATTCTTATCGACTTAACGTGCGCAATTTTATTAAATAGTTCATGCCGAATTGAACTCTGATCTTTGCCAACTGTAATACAATTTTAAACGACCTCTTGTGTGAACTCGATACTATGTTTAACCTCCTAAGCTAACATCTTAAGCTTTTAGAGGGGAAATATAATAATTTATTTTAAGTGGTCTTCAACACAACAACTTAATAACTTTCTACTGCTAACTGTAGGAGGGACGACGAGTTCATGTTATAGAAAGAGACTTAACCGAGCCAGATCGGATTGTTGGTGAACTTCTACAGCCTGGAGGCTATTTGAAATTAATTGAGTTAGGTCTTGAAGGTAGGTCAATACAGTTGACAATTAATTTCTGTCTCAGCACATTGAATTAGAGGAGTGTCACCGTCCATTCAAGATGTTGACATGTGATTGCAGATTGTTTACAAGATATCGATGCTCAACGAGTTTTCGGATATGCCCTTTATATGGATGGTAGAAACACTAAGTTGTCTTATCCGCTGGAGAAATTCAATTCGGATGTCTCAGGAAGAAGTTTTCATAATGGCCGTTTTGTACAAAGGATGAGAGAAAAGGCTGCAACCCTTCCTAAGTAAAATTTCTTTACTTTGAAATAGTTATTCCATTCACACGTTTCATAAATTTTGTAGTTCAAGTGCTTACTTAATCAAAAATGATTACATGTGGTTGGTATAGTTGACAATGGTTCATATTGTTGTACTTATATGACTTTTTGCTTGTGCATGAAAAAGTCAATTAAGTAAACTTTTTACTTTTTACCCTTTTATACATTTTGCCACATGACATTATCCAATTGGATAGTTAAAAAAAAGGGTAATCAGCACAAAACGTCCCTATCTTTAATGATTTTTGTGAAAAACGTCCATACCTTTCATTTTTTGACGCATTTCATCCCTACATTTATCTTTTCTTGTGCAAAACATCATTTTTCTCAATAAAAAGCTATAAAATGACTAATATACCCTTCTATTTAAATAAACAACCAAACGCAATCGTAGTTCCAAATAAAAAAATATAAAAAATTCTCCACCTCCACCTCCTCTTTTGAATTTTTTTAAAAATTGGAACTATGGTTGCAATTAATTCTTTATTTTTTTTAATTTAAATAGAATGGTATATTAGTCATTTTATAACTTTTTATTGAGAAAATGGATGTTTCTCACAAGAAAATGTAAAGGTAGGGATGAAATGCGCCAAAAAACGAAAGATATGGACGTTTTCCACAAAAATCATGAAAGGTATGGACGTTTTGTGCTAATTATCCAAAAAAAATTCATCCAATTATTTGTTGAAAACCATGCAAATGTCAACAAGGGTGTAAAAATAAAAAAAACTAATTAACGGAAAAGACTAATTAGTGAAATTAATCAAACAACTATTATAATTTCAAGTTCTTGATTCTTTGAAGAAAATTTGAAAGGATCTAGCTACATTTACATTAAGATTTACATAATGTATTACATAATGGAACATGACAATCTACCATTTGTAGTTTTAAAATATAATCAATTTTTTTATTCAATATTTTCCCTCTATATCATATTATATAATCCATTATGTAGATTTTTTATGTACAAATAGCAAAATTCAATTCAAATTTTTTTACTAATTGTCATCCGTACTGTTTTCGGGTTTAGTGTAAGACTTGAACAAGGAACGGTGACATCCTTGCTTGAAGAAGAAGGGACAATCAAAGGAGTGCAATACAAGACTAGGAATGGTGAAGAAATGACTGCAAGTGCTCCTCTCACCATTGTATGCGATGGCTGTTTCTCAAACTTGAGGCGCTCTCTTTGTACTCCGAAGGTGAATACTATGCCTAATGACACTACAGTAACTATAACTATTTAGAACATGTTTAGTATGCAGTGTTGGACGTTAAAATAGACAGTCCAAATTTTTTTCAGTTGTTAGTCATATGTAGTTCCTCTTCTTTTCTATTTATTTATTTAAATTTCCTTAGTTTCCTTGAATTGGAGGTAACTTGATTTCCATTTACCACGCATGTTTTATTGGATTTATGCACTGTATTCATTCCTCTTTCTTCTTTACCTCTATAAGCAAAATTCTACATTAAATATAGGTGGACGTCCCCTCTTGTTTTGTTGGTTTGGTCCTGGAAAATTGTGACCTCCCATTTGCAAATCACGGGCATGTTGTTCTTGCGGACCCATCGCCTATCTTATTTTATCCTATCAGCAGCAGTGAAGTTCGTTGCTTGGTTGATGTCCCGGGACAAAAAGTGCCTTCCATTGCTAATGGTGAAATGGCCACATATTTGAAGACGGTGGTAGCTCCTCAGGTACTTTTAGTTTACCCATAGAAAGACCAACTTTTATTCTGCTTACTTTCATTTACTTATTTCTGTTGCATATATTGCTCATTATGATTGAACAATACATCCATTTTTCAGATTCCTTCTCAGCTGTATGATGCATTCATAGCAGCAATTGACAAAGGAAATATAAAAACAATGCCAAACAGAAGTATGCCAGCAAATCCTCATCCCACCCCGGGTGCCATACTAATGGGAGATGCATTCAATATGCGACATCCTTTAACCGGGGGAGGAATGACCGTGGCTCTATCAGATATAGTCGTTATCCGAAATCTTCTTCGACCAATACATGATCTAAATGATGCTGCTACCCTGTCCAAGTATCTTGAGTCCTTTTATACCCTTAGAAAGGTGAGTCATATAGTTTGAACATTTCCATTCTTTCAAATGTCCTATTATGACATTGCTGAAGGAATTTGTCTTAAATACAAAATTATGGGGCTTTTAACTTAAGAATTCAAATCTTTTTTCTTTTTGCTTGCAGCCTGTAGCATCTACTATAAATACACTGGCAGGTGCACTTTACAAAGTATTTTGTGCATCACCTGATCAGGCAAGGAAAGAAATGCGCGAAGCGTGTTTTGACTACTTGAGCCTTGGAGGCATTTTCTCCAATGGTCCCGTGTCTTTACTCTCTGGTCTGAATCCACGCCCTTTGAGTCTTGTGCTCCATTTCTTTGCCGTGGCTGTCTATGGCATTGGCCGCTTATTTCTTCCATTTCCTACACCAAAACGGATTTGGTTAGGGGCTAGATTGCTTTCAGTGAGTGTCCATCAATTAACATTGTACTAAAATTTTCTTCTATTCTTCTGCGACTATAGCAATCCTTGACAATATTAAGGAAGATAAAAGGTTAAAAATCATGTTCATCATAAGGTCCAGTATGTGTTTATCCCGTGCATAACTGACGACATTTTTTTTTTTCTTAACAGGGCGCGTCTGGAATTATATTTCCAATTATGAATGCAGAGGGATTTAGGCAAATGTTCTTCCCTGCTACTGTTCCAGCCTACTACAGATCTCCCCCAGCTAATTAACCAAGGCGTTAAATTCTTTTCCTCATTAGTTGTTTCTTTTTATGTATTAGTGTGGTCTCTCCCCAAAATAGAGTCAAGACGTCACCATTAGCTTGAGAAAGAGAATTCTGTTTAAGCATTTTTTATATATGCCTAATTCTGAAAATAAATATTCCATCTCATCTTGTACGATATGGCATTTGATAATATAATAAATTTGAGAGTAAAGTTTGTTGGATAATTTAGTGTTTTAAATTTCTGGATCTTTCATGTTAAATTATCAAGAAATACAAGAATTAAAGCGGAAGCATACCTAAATCAGACATGGTTAATGCAATATGAATTTCGCGGTATGGACTTCCAAATCTACACGGAGTCTCCTTTTCCTCTCTGTGATGGGATGCAGTAGAGAATGAATAATACGTGCGTGTGATCTGGGGACCATAACCTATTTATATAGGGATGCCCTTTGACCTAATTCGACTCATCATAGAATTAGGACTTGGACCCGGTCTCTACACATATGTAAACTCATACTTTAACTGGATACATTAAAACCCAAAATCGAAGCCTTATTAGATCACTTTAATTGGGCTCAACCGAACTTGATAACCTATAATTTAACACACAATTATTCACACATACAAGTCCATCTTTAATTAAAAATCCTTACAAAGTTTTCGTGTCTATTGTTTTTGTTTCAAATACTGTTCGAAATTAAAACAAATTCGGATGTAGTTTAATGGAGTCAAAGGTTCAGGTCAAGTAATCCGCGCCGGGTTGGGTCATCTAACAACCTATCTATAATCTGTTAAAGTGTGACATTAAGGAAAAATCATTTTTTCTGGAGGATTTTAACCCCCCTACAATTCAATTATTTCAATAATACATTACTTTTCGTTTTTAGATATTTAATAAGTATTACATAATTATTGTCGTTTATGAAATTTGTGTTATTAATTCTCAATTAAGTAACATTCACATTAATGTAAATTCAATGAAGTTTCACTTGATGAATATTGAATTATATGAATTTAAAGTTATTATAGATGAATTTATTCATATTTATATACATAAAAATTTTAATGGGAGTTTAAACTTATGTGTTAACAATTAATTTTTATGTATCAAATGTAATATAAAAAGATTGCTCATTTATATTATTTCATTATTACAAAAAATTGGAATCATAAAAATTGAATTTTGAAAGTATAATTTAAGTACAATTTTCTTCTCTCAAATTTCTATACTAAATTTTATTTTCTTTAATTCGTCTGAGACTTTTCAAATCCTCCAACAAATTGGTACAAAATATTACTTTTACATACAATACACATTCAACTTTGACTAATAGATTAAAAACGGTCCTCAGCTAACAATAAAATTCAAAGGTTTGGGTCAAGTCGTTCGGGTTGGGTTAGTTCATTTCTATGACATGGAAACAGAGTTTCACATTATTTTTACGGCTTAGAATGTGTGCGTGATTTATGTTTAATTAATATCATTTTGTTTTTTGTTTTTTTGAACTCTTGAATAATTATAATGTTGCTACACCTTAAAATATGTCCATGGTTTATGCGGGTACCAAGTAATTTTTGTTTTTCAAGATTTTTAATTGATGTCCATGATTTATGTTTCATTGGTCCCAACTCCGAAGTAATTTTTGTATCTTGATGTCTAAATTTTTTTAGCCTAAAATACACTTGGGATATATGATTCATTGATACCAAGTAATTTTTGTCTTTCAAGCATATGATTAGTAATGTTATAATTACAACTTAGCTTACTAATGTTATTATTACAACTTACAATATATTCATGATTTATGTTTCATTGATATCAAGAATTTTTTTTCTTTTCAAGCTAACATGTTGTAACGGTGTTATAACATCTTAAAATATATTTATAAGTTATGTATCGTTAGCACCAAGTGTTTTTTGTTTTTGAATTATTCAATTATCAAAACGTTGTTCTATGGTGTATCTCAGATAATACATGAAACTTAGTTTTTTTGGGTACGTTGTTTGTTTTGACACACGTAAGTTAGGTCATGCATCAATAGGCTACATATTTGCAAGTCTATCTATGATTACGATACAAAGTTGAATTTACTTATGGTTTTGACACAAATAGATGTAAACATGAGAGAGAGGGAGGGAGGGAAGGTGTTATTAAAAAAAAAAAAAAAAAAAGGTTGAACCCCAATCTTGAGAGTCCCAACGGCCCGCCCCTAAAACTTTGTGAAGGAGGTAAATAGCAGGATGTGTCCCGACAGGCCAGAGAACAAGAGCTGTCTATACACTGCGCCTAGAAAATGTGTTATTTTAGAATTAGTTTAAGTAGTACTTGATTTGTAGAATTATTTTCATTTTCCCTTTTCAAAATACCTGTTTTCGAACTTCCAAACTTTTAAGCTTTTATTTGATAATGATTAAAATCATATTTTCAGTATATTTTGATAAAAATTAATAAAACGCATAATTAAAAAATTATGGATCCCATGGTTAATATTAGGTCTCGTTCGGTACCTATTTTTTTCAAAATGTATTTTTCTCTCTCTTCTTTTCAACTACATATTCTTTATTAAAATAATATTTCATGTAAATAAAAAACTTTTTCTTATTTATAACCACACATTTTCCATCAATTTACTATTTAAAAATATATTTTTACATAAAAATATCTCCCAAACACCCTCTTAATCCAATTTCCACTTATTATATGCCCGGTTTTAATGTCATATTGTATTAATTTCCTTCCTTGCCAAAATTACGAAGGCTCTAATTCTAAAACATTGGCATAGGCTTTTTTGGTAAGCCCATATATGACATATTCATTGACTTCAAATTAGCCCATCGGCCATTACGGACTCTGAAAGTTCCGGACGCTTCTATAGTTCCTCAGGAATCAAATTCCATTCTGCAGTTTCTTGATAGAATCGAAATTATAATTCGATTGTTTTGAAGATTGATTATTGCAATAGATTCAGGCATTAAGGTAACCTTCTTTTCTTCCTTTGTAAAACCCTTTCAATTTGAATAGCGTTTAATTTAAATCCGTTCTACTTAATGTTACCAGATAATTGGTATCTTTATTTATATTTTAGAATTAGAACACAATCCCATGTGATTTAATTTTTGTTCCAGATTTTGTTGTTAAATCCCTGAATTCGAAACATCATTCTGCATATGGATTTTGTATTTTTTTTTTTTTGTTTATGAACTTGATTAGTGTGTAAAAATACGGAAATCTTAGAAAAAGATTTCTTTTTGTGCATACCAAGTCATTTATCTTTTGGCTTAATGAAAAATAATTTATGAAATAATAGTCAAGGAGTTCTATTTAAATATTTGATTTTGGGAGAAAAGGAAACTAAAAAAGTTTGTACTTTTAGAGTTTACAAGTGCAAGTTTGGGCTCCATTTTAATGAGATTTTGGGAAAAATATTTTGGAATAGGTTTTTTCTTCGTTTTTTTTAAGGAAAAATTTTTGGTTTACAAGTGTAATATTATTTTTTTGAAAATTAGTTTTGAAAAATATATATTTTTGGTTTAGTGGAGCCCAAACAAGTGCGTGGAATGATGAATGCAAACTTCAAAATTTTGAATACCAATTGACTAAAGGAACTTATTTTTCTTTTCTTTGGGCTGAAATGTACGTGGAAAGTGGATATTATTTTTCAGGAAATTCTTGATTTAAGACTTGTAAATTTTTGAACACCAAATGTGTTTGCTTGCATTTTTTTTTTTTTTACACGGGTTAGTAGATGGCTCAGGCTGGCAAGATATCGTTGAGCAGAACATGGATTTTGTAATCAGGAAATTCTTTACTTGTTTTCTCCAGGAACCTGGTCTAGAGGAGGTTAGAGATGGATTTGGAGACAGAGAATAGAATAGCTGCTATTCTATTGAAAGAGGCAGCAGAGCTGCGTAGACAAGCTGAGAAGGAGGGTGTGCATGCTTATGTTGAAAACCCAACTGTTAGGAGTCGTCCCAATTCACGTTTCTTAAGTGCAACTGTTCTTGGTGTGCAACAAGGTTAGTTTCCATTGCTATGAAAATGGTTTCTTTTTTGTTTTTGTTCAAATATTTTACCTTGTTAGCCTAAATATCGGGGAACTTATTTTTATATGGAAAACATGAACAAATTTAAATTTAGATTTGTACTAGAATATGTGGTTTTATTTCATATTTTGCAAAACAGCCCACCTTGCAATTATAACCTAACTATTTATCCAAATCTGAAAACTACTGTGTGAAAATTCTGGCTTCGATTTCTTCTCCACGATTTGCTGCACATTTTACGTCATCGAAGCATTAAATGCGTTTATTTGGGTACAATAGAGTTGTAATTCATTAGTTATTCTACATGCTAGCCAAATCTGGGAAAAAAAAGAAGCATCCTCCTTGAATTAATAACATTCACTAGTCACCAACAACAACGCTAAACTCACACTCCGCCCTCTGCCCTTCTCCCACTTCTTTATTTCATTGACTAGATCTTCCTTTGCTTCTTAAGAGAGAATGTGAGGGTTCTGCTAGAGTGGATTGAGGAAGATCAACCATTTGAGTTTCATTCTGTCATGGCATGTATTTGGTCCCTTTATTTATCGTTTGGTTGATTTTGTTGGGTAGAGTAGCTGGAAGTAATGACACATGTGGCCCTATCTTTTGGACCTAGCACGATTCTTTACGCCCCTGCTTGGCCCCTTTTAAAATTTTAATTTGTTTGCTACAGTATCATTATCCATCACACATTCACACAATAAAATATTCTACATATAAGCCAACAAAGTTTCTTTACTTTTTAACCGCACATTCTCTAAAAAATACTATTCAAAACTCTTTAATTTTTCAAATAATGTGTGTCCAACAAGGGCTAAATTTTTTATATTGTGTAACCAGGAATGTATAGATTAATGATGAAGATAGGAAATTCATATGCGATAACTGTACTGAAGAGAAGCCAAAATTTATTGTGGAGTAGATCCATTGCGTTAATTAGAGATTCTGGGGATTTTCAGTAGCTGAAAGTACGTCTCTTTTCGTCTGTAGTTTTAACATTGATAAAACTGTGAGGGTTTGTGCGTGCATGAAATATCAAATAAGTGAAGGTACTATTTGTCATTTAGCATCAGAAGCAGTTTTTTGTGTTTTGTAGGGTTTCATTGATAATGAAGTTCTTGTTGGATTTTTCCTGTTATGTTATCTTCTTCTGTCATAATTGATATTATTTTTTCTTTATATTGTGCCTCTCCAAATGTCACTCTCCCAGCAAATCGTGCTGTTGAGGTAAACGAGATGTGGCAATTAAGGCAGAAAGAGCTAGAGCTGGATAATAGGCTTAGAGGAACAAGAAATGAAAGTAAGGGGGGAAGTGGCAGGGGTGTTTCTAACCCTTCCGGAAGTACAAGTAGGGAATGCTATAACAATGAGTCTCATGCAAGTGCTTCATGTTCAACAAAGAAAAGAGCTACACGGGAGAGTCATCCAATCAAGGATGATGGTCTAAGGGATGATGAGATAGAGGAATTTCTACATGCAAGGTATCCCTCCCCCAAGCACTTTCTTGTCGTCTGCTTGTGTGCGTCTGTGCCTGTCAACTTGTGCACTCGCTCTGCTCGACTCCATTATATATTTAAGTCTTATTGGACTATCTTCTGGATGATAGGATCAAGAGAGGCAGGGGTGCTGTTGGATCAAGGATGGATGAAAATGGTCCATACCTTCCGTCTAGTTCAAATTCCAAGCAAAAAGAGTCAGAATACCACGATGCGGAGCTTAGGAAAAACCATATTTTGCTAGGCCCTGAAAAGTCTTTTTCATTGGAGTCAGATGACGAATCTTCTGTAGATAAGAAAAAAAGGGCAAAGATGTCAGGCTCAAGCAAACATCACTCTAAGAAACATAAATCCAAAGAAAAGTCGAAGCATAAGAAGAGAAAGAGGAGGGATGAAAGAAAGAGCAGGCATGACAAATGATGGTTTTATGGTATATTACTGTTTTTCAGCTAGATAGTTCTAACATGTATCAGCTGTGTTATTTCAAATTATAATTCTTGTTTGTACACTGTATGAAAGAATGTTTTAAACAATTCTATTGAACGTGTCCCCTTTCTAACAGCTTGACCTTGTGTTGGGCTGTCTTTGGCTTTACAAGAGAGATGTGGAACCAGAAATGAATGGGCTTATCCACCGATTGTTATTTTGTGTGTCAAATTCTAATGTTGGCCCACCTGTGTTATTAATGAACAAGTAATCATATTGAAGATGAGCTGCAATAAAACGATTTGAAGCTTGAGAGGCTGCTGCGAAATAATGATTTAGTCCGTATGTATGACATGGGAAGGATAACTCGCTATCAGAGCTATTCCCACTTTGTATGCTTGAAATGAAGTATTTATGTGGACCATTAAAGTTGCTATGCTCTTCAAGAATCAAGACTTTCAGTAATTTTGGTGGTTTCAGAATCAAACAACCAACTTCAAGTGCAACTGCACAAGAAACAGAATAAAGTTATCAGTTATTTAATTGTAACTTGGTTATCACTTTCATTTCTTGTCAAAGAAATTAAACGGGCGGCCTTATTTGATGATTTTATCATAGTTTACTTTAGATTTTTCCTTTGGATTTACATTTTATTCAGTTTCTTTAGGAGTGTATGCTTGTCAAGATAATTTGTTGTGCTCATATTGGTATCAAGAAACTGCTTTGTCCCCTTTCCTTTGCTTCGATGGAATGATTGATTGCTTGCTTGCCAGTAGGGAATGACTGATCTAAGAAAGAAAAAGAACTGGCAATGATATTTGATACCAACAATAATGATAGTCCTACACACTTGGGTTACAAAGTCAGATAACAAAGTGACGTGGACGGCCAGGATTAAAACGCAAGCGACGGCTGGGATTGAATTCTAAAACATTTGCAAACCAATTAGGCGCCATACATGAAAATCCTGTCCGGTCTGATTTCTCTCCCCCCATTTCTCTCTGCAACCTTCGTTCTCACTCTCCTCCATTATTCTTCATCCATTACTCTATCCCAGAAAGGAGCCATCCCCGAAGCAGTAACATCTGGCAGTCGGCACCGGCATTTACCTCACCTCCCTCCGGCGTCATAAAATCTCTCTTCTTCCGGCCGTCAATCTCAATCAAAACAATGGAGAAAGGACGCCAGAGGGAGGTGCGGTAAATGCCGGATGTTACTGCTTCGGGGACAGTTCCATTCTGGGAGAGAGTAATGGATGAAGAATAATGGGGGAGAGTGAGAACGAAGGTTACAGAGAGAAATGGGGGAGAGAGAAATCAGACCGGACGGGATTTTTATGTATAGCACCTAATTGGTTTGCAAATGTTTTAGAATTCAATCCCAGCCGTCGCTTGAGTTTTAATCCTGGCCGTCCACGTCACTTTGTTATCTGACTTTGTAACCCAAGTGTGTAGGAGTAGCATTATTGTGATACCAATTGGCCAGCAAAATACCTGTACTACGAGCTTTGCTAAAGAAACGAAATAATGCATCTAACTTATTATATTTACAGTTTTTGTGGTTTGTGGAAGACTTGGCTTGTTTCCTCTTTTACAGTAATACATGGAGTGGGGGAAAAACAAAGTTAATGTGATATGATCTGGAGAAGGCCTGAATCGATTGAGAATTTGTTGATTGTGGTCAAAGGGTTAAAATCAAAATTCAAGCTTAATTGCAAGCCAAATGAGGTTGATTCAAGCAATACAATCAATAGCCTGAGCCATGGAGTACATGAGGTCGAAGTCGATATGATCCAAAGTGCAAGTTTGATGTTAGGGCCAATGTCTAAATCAATGTGGAACAGCTTGTGAATGAAGCTGAAGTCGGAGCCAAACTAAGGGGGTGTTTGAGCCACATTATTTTGGTAATAATGCATTCTTGAATAGTGTATTGATGGAAAATGTGTGGTTAAAAAATAAGAAAAAGTTTTTGATTTGCGTGTAATATTATTTTATTGAAAAATGTGGTTGAAATGATGTCAAATCACTGTTTAAGAATACATTTTTTTTTTTAAACAATGTAGCTCAAATAGGCACTAAATAGCAATGCAACTGCAAGGCATTACCTTCATGCGGTCGCACAGAAGCCAACAGGGAAAAATTGGGCGTCAAGCAGTTGAACCATGCGACTGCACCGAATTTGCCCATGTGGTCGCACAATTAATTCCGAGCCAGAAATTCGCGAGTTTCCAAGTTTAATTAGAAGACTTATCTTTGATATTTTTGCCATATTAGGAGACGTGTTTTACCTTATTAAATTAGGATTTTAGAATTTATTCCTTTTTTTTATATTAATTTTTAGGGTTTTAGTTTTAGTATAAATAGTTCCTTTTTTTCATATTGTAACAAGTTTTATGATGAATGAAAATTGAGAGTTCTCTCGTTTGAGGTGTGATGCTTCACTTTACAAAACTTATCAAGATTTAACAAATCTTGTGTCGTTCACAATTATGCAGGTGAGATTCGTAAGTCTTGTGATTAGGAGGTCGTAAATTTAATATATCTACGGTTGCCTAGTTCATTGTTTAGGGATTAAATCCAAAATCGGCGATTATTGGCGTTCTTGGAAACTGTTGCAATCTCGTTGTCGGTTCGTGAGTGTTCGTTGCTCACGGGTTCGCATCATAAGGATCTCAAAAAGGAGAAAAGATGAAATGTCACCTTTATATCTTCAGAACGGAGGTATTGCTAATTGCTTCGTCTAATGGTGAGTATGATATTCCTTAGTGTCTCACTGTTGAAGAACATAATAAAGTAACAAACTCAGAACTCACTGGTGCAACAAGTAATTTTTTGAGGTGGGTTCTGTCGGATGGGATGAGACATTATATCAGCGGCACTTTTCAGCAATGCTCAATTCTAGTCTGATTCTTGCCCTTTTGCAAGAATGTCTTTAATAGACGGTCTAACCAACTATTTGAATTCAAAATTCTAGGATAGGTATACTGATGTGTCAACATCAATATGCCTCATTGACATCTCTTTACGTTGATTCAATAGAAGCTGGGTCTTGAACAAGAGCTGAAACACATTCACTGTCAATTCCGGTAAAGATGTTTCGTTATAATGGTACTTAATACAAGGGTCGTCCTATGTTGTCAATGACATTGTGGTCTTGTTTCAGCAGAACCACTACAAAAATGTTTTGAAGATGTTGAGTAGCTTTCTATACTTGAAAATACCTGCAAATCTATAATATATTAAAATATCACATTAAGGCAGAATAATTTTTTGGATACTTCTAACCTCTTTAAAATTTAATTATTTCAATAATACCTTACTTTTCTTTTTCGAAATGTAATAAATACCACATAATTATTATCATTTATGAAATTTGTATTGTTAATTCTCAATTAATTTCATTCACATTAACTTTGATTCAATGAATTTTCATTTGATAAATCTTGAATTACATAAATCTAGAGTTGTTATAAATGAATTTATTCATATTCATGTATCTAGAAATTTTAATAGGTGTTTAAATTTATGTATTAACAATTAATTTTTATGTATCAAATATAATATAAAAAAATTGCTCATTTACAATATTTTATCATTACAGAGAATTTGAATCATACAAATTGAATTTTGAGTAGGGCTGGGCAAATCTCCCGAACCGAACCGAACCGATCGAACCGAACCGATCCGAACTCGACGGTTCTTGTCAAATTAAATACCCGAACGGGTATCTGAATTGAGAACCGACGGGTACGGTTCGGTTCTCGGTTCTAGACCAAGAACCGAAGAACCGAATAAGAACCGAATCTTTCTAATTTTTTTTTATATTAAGTAAATCAAATTATTTTCATTTTAATTTTTTCTAAACAAATTAACAAATTAATAATTTCTAAATCCAAATTTTTGGCCCAATAATTTGTTTCATTTCTAATTTTTAATTTTTGGCCCAATTACCCATTTTATTGTTTCATTTCTTAGCCAAACAAATCAAATCCACTAAATAACCCTAAACACCTACAATAAAGTGCATAACGTTGTCTCGACTCTCGCACTCACTCTCGCAGCCTATCTAATATTCCGAAACCTATACAATCGTCAGCCGACACTTTGACCTCCGATCGAAGCCGTGACTTTCCCCGACTGAAGCTTTGATCGTAGCGATCATTTGAACAAGATAGTTTACTAATCTCTGACATTCCAAAACTATTGAATGTATCATTAGTCTTATTTATATAACATTGTTATAAATGTTAAAAAATTTAATTATAGTACAGAACCGAACGGAACGGAACCGATCCGAATCGAACCGAATGGAACCGAACCCGAACGGTTCCATAATTATAATTGGACCCGACGGTTCCATTTACAAGATACCCGAAAAGTTTGGTTTGGTTCGGTTTTAAAGAGAACCGAACCGAATCAACCCGCGCCCACCCCTAATTTTGAGAGTACAATTTTCTTCTCTTAAATTTCTATACTAAATTTTATTTTCTTTAATTCATTCAAACTCATCAAATTCTTTAATAAATTGGTACCAAATATTACTTTTATATCACTTATAAAGTATTTTAGAATAATGTGCAATGCACGTTCAACTTTTACTAGTATCGATAAACGCATTATTAATTATAGACTAATTGCAAATGCTCTTGCTTACCTCTCTACTGCATTTCACACACCTATCATCCATTGAGATTTAACAACATACGCCATTGTCATCAACCATTATGGTGTTGTGAAGATTGTAGATTTCTCACTCTATAAGTCGTCGCCTCCTGGAGAATCACAGGGAGAAGATGCAGTCATTGGGACGACGAGATATCTTGAATATGATTACATGATAACGGGCATCATCACAGAGAATTGTGATATCTATATATTCCGAATGATTCTGCTTGAACTCTTGACGGGTCTTATTGGCCGTAGGCCTATGCAGAAGACCACGTCAACAATTGGACTCGACAATTTTGGGGTAGAGAAGCAAAATAGAGTAGGAACATCAATTGTAGGCTTTCTCGAACTTGCTTTGAGAGAGAAAAATTTTCGATAACTTCTTGATCCTACTTACTAGATTTATTGCTTGTTAATTTTCCATCTCAGTGTGAGATAGGTGCATCAATTGTAGGCTTTCTGGAATTGCTTTGAGATGCACTCATGACGATGGAGTAGATAGGTTGGACATGACCCATCTGACAAAAGAACTCATAATTATTCAGTTTTTAGAATCATCCTGCATATGGGCATTGCTAGTGAATCGTCCTCGTGAGAGAAGTTTCCTAGTTTTAAGTTTGATCAATTGAAAATTTGATATACATTTAGTCCCTATTTGAGTCTTATTCTTTGAAAAAAAAATACATTTTTAAACAGTATTTTGACATTATTTCAACTACACATTAGTTGAAATAATAAAAATTGGCAATTTCAAATTTTAAGAAAATTAGTTGGGAATACTACTGGGATTCAAGTGATACACAATTTCAAAGGTTGGTTATTCCATGCTTAATTTTCCAGGATGCCCTTGTATAACTTCATGAAAGTAATTCACACAATCATACTTTCCTAGAATTTTACAAATAGGTCCTGTTTGGGATTGATAATTAAGGATCTGTTTGCCCCTATTATTTCCAATTATAATTTTCTCTCTTATTTTCAACCTAACAATTTTTTATAAAATTATATTACACGTAAATCGAAAACTTTTTTTTTTCGGCCATACATTCTCCAAAAAAAAAAAAATACTATTTCAAAAATTATAAATTGAAATAATGAGGGCCAAACGGGGGCTAAAGCTCAACTTCTGACAAACAATTTGAAATTATTTTAGGAGTTTGGTAAACTAAAGAAGAACTGATCATAAAAAAATCTATACCATCAAATTGTCTATAATTGAAATAATAAGTTTAGACCTAATTAATTCAATTTTTCTCTTAAAATTTTATTGATATGCCAAAAGTAACTCATCTTTCCAGATTAAATTTATTTGATTATTTTAGTAATATATGAATTATGCTTTTATTTTGGAATATTATAAACTTTGATATTTGATAAATATTATTATTATTTTTAATTTTAAAACAACTATAGTGCAAATATTGTCTTAAATAAAATGTTTTGATAATATTATTTCTTGTTATAAAACCTAAAATAAATTTTACAACCGGTTATAATATCATAATGGGAATATAAAAGAATAATGCTAATCCTATTGCAAATCTGAATAAAAATTTCCTAACACTGAATTAGGTAAAAAAAAAATAATTAATAAAACGTTTAGATTATAGCCAACGACTAATTTTAATAATAACATATAATTTTTATTAATTTTTTGATTACGTATTCCATCAACTTCAATCAAATTTCACAAAACTTATACTATCAAATAAATCTTTAGGGCATGTTTGGAAGCGTTTTTTCCTCTCAAAAAATTAATTTTTTAATTGTTATTTCATTATTTCAGCCATTATATTTGACTTTTTATCTCATAGATTGACTCCACTTTTCTTCTAAAGGTCAAAAAATCAATTTTTAAAATCACTCCCAAACATGCTCTTGGTCTGCGTTCATGACCCAGGAAAGAGAAGTGTGAAACCAAAGATCATTTTTTTTTTTCTATTTTTTTAATTTGGGTATATGACCGGGTCAAGAGAAGACTGAAACCAATCACCTGGATGATTTTGTCGGAGATATAATCTATTGTCACTTTGTCTGTATATTCTTGGAATGAACTCTTTATTGGGACCCTCGAAGTTGATATACTCTTCAAGTTCCAACATCTAATTAATATTTTCACTGTTTTTCTCTGAAGATTTTTGAAGACTTGGCTTGTTGCCTTGTTTCCTCGTTCGCAATTACTCATGGAGTGGGTGAAAAGAAAGATAAGGTTCTGGAAAAGGAGGAACGACAGATTATCGCCTTGGTATATTGAAAATGGAGGCAAATTGTTAGAAGGGCTAATCGCTTCTTCTAATGGTAAGTATAATATTCCTTATCGCGTCTTCACCGTCGAAGAACTTAATAAAGCAACAGACATAGATTTCACTTGTATAGGAAATGATATTTCCAGATCGGCTATGGTGGATGAAACGGGTTATTACATCAGTGGCATTTTTCAGCAAAGGTCAATTCTGGTTAAGAAGTTTTATGTTTATGCTCCCGAAGTCAAAGGGGCGCCCTATGCTGTCAAAGACATAGTAATCACGGTGCAGATGAACCACCACAAAAATGTTTTGAAGATCTTGGGTTGCTGCTTAGATATAGAAATACCCGCTATTATCTATGAAATCGAGAAAAATTATGGACTTCTGTATGACCTTCTTTTTAAAAGGAAAGAAGGGAATTTTGAGAATAATATTGGTAGATCACTCTCTTGGAGTAATCGACTAAAAATTGCGACAGACGTTGCAAATGCTGTCGTTTATCTTCATACTGCATTTCCCACACCTATCATCCATAGTGATTTAAACACAAAAAACATTGTCATAGACCATCATGGTGTTGCTAAGCTTGTCGATTTCTCACTCTGCATAGCACTGCCTCCCGGAGAATCACAGTTGGAAGTAGATTTTATTTTTGTGAGTAATGGACATGTTGACCCCGAGTGCATCACAACAGGCATTATAACAGAGAAGGGTGATGTCTACGCGTTTGGAATGATTCTCCTTGAACTCTTAACTTGTCGTAGACCTGACTTTGGAGATCATAAATTTATTCCTTTACAGGAGTATGTAAAAAACCACATTGACGAGAATGAGTTGAGTAAGGTTTTGGACCCGAGAATTGTAGGGGAAAGCGGCGAAATAGAGCAAGAGCATCAATTGCAGGCTTTCTCAAAACTTGCTTTGAGATGTACTCGTGACAAAGGGGCGGATAGGCCAGAAATAATCGATGTGGCTAAAGAACTGGTAAGGATTCAGAGGTCTATTCATCCAGTTTAGCGCACTCAAAAATTAACATAAAGGTTTTTCCTGCGTTTAGGCATTTGCTGGTGGATCATAGTTATGTAATAAGTTTCCTATTGATTTGTTACAACTTAGCCATCGTCATTGTGGTTATGTGAGAAATTTCCTATTTGACGCCACAAGTGTAATTCTTCTTATCTGCATTCATTGTCTCCAATTGTTTGCATAACTTCACCGGAAAGCTTTGAAAAGTTGCATGATGATCTTTGCCTGTAACATGAGTTAAAGCTTTTTGTAAACAGTTAAAGGCCACTATAGAATGGAGTTAATTGTTCCAATGGTCACTGAATTTAGGTCCATATTTTTAATTGGTCATTAAAGTTTAAAATATCGAGTTTTGATCACTGAAATTAGGTTCATGTTTTCAATTTCTCACTAAAGTTTAAAATGTCAAATTTTGACCACTGAACTTTGAAAAATGTTGTACATTTTTCATTGAATTTTGAAAAATATTGTACATTACTCACAATTTTGAAAAATGCTGTATATTACTCACTGTAAACTCAATATTTTTCAAAGTTCAACAGTTATGCTAGTGAGTGACGTACGACATATTCCAAAATTCGGTGACCAAAACTCTACATTTTAAACTTCAGTGAGTAATCTAAGACATGGACCTAACTTCAATGAGAAAATTGAAAACATTGACCTAAGTTCAATGATCAAAACTCGATAATTTAAAATTCTGTGACCAACCAAAGATATATACCTAAGTTCAGTGATCATTTGAACAATTAACTCCTATAAAATGCTATCCATGATCAGTAACAACATAGGATGTATATACAAATTTACTATTAGAATGTCAATTGTCACAAAACTGCAATTTTCTTGACATCAACCAACTAGTTAAATAAGTGTGGGGGGTGAACAATACATGAATTAATAATAAATAACCATTTTTAGTTTTGAATGTCATAGAAAGCCTAATTTTGGGCAGCAGAGTAAATCTTAACTTTGTACATATCATGGATTGATTGATGAATGGAAATAGCCTAAAAATGAGATCATGATCAAGAAAATTCTGTTGATCATCAAATACCTTGACATAGTACAATTACTATACAAGAAAAAAGGCAGAATGCATAGTATAATTTATACCTTGTGTAAACTCGAAAACAAGCGTTCTGCACATGGAACCAATCATCTGGTGCAATGCATCAGGGTGTAACATTATATTTCTTGGTTAAATCTGTACTTGCACGTCAGTCCAAATTCTAAAATAGTCCTACTGAAAAAGGATTATCAAAGATTTGTATATTACATTTGTAACTTTATGATAAAATTACTGATATTGTATTCTTATATCACTCATATTTTTCTACCCATGGTGGAAAGTTTTATCTTGTCCATTTTGAAGATAACTTATGATTCTCATTTGGAGAGAACCGTAAGTAAAATTCTCTTACCACCTCAACAAATAAGCAATCTTAGGGTCCATTTGATTACAAAGATGGAATTGAGTTGAAAACGAATTTCAGGGAATTGAATCGCCTAGAAATTGTTTGCCTGAGAATTGTAAATTATTATGTTTGATTGGGATAATTTTTCATGTGAAAAATGCTGAAATAAAAGTGTTTTTTTATCTACATTTCGCATTGTTTTATATGAAAATTGTCAATTAAAGAGATAGATTTTACTCGTATTGAAGATAAAATTTGTTTTCATTGCCAAAAAAAAAAAATTCAAAAAAATTATCTATCTTTTGGCGTTCGTTTGACTTTATTTTACATGAAAATTGTCATTTAAAGGGAAATATTTTTTTACAATAATTCTTAAAATTTGTTTCCATTTCCAACAAAAAAAATCGAAGAAAATAAAAATAAAATACTACAGTAACCGAGAATTTCAATTCTCACCATTTTGGTGAGAATTGGAATTTAAGGAAAACATGGAAATTAACTCAGGTGGCATAAAATGTGGAATTCAAATTCTAGAGAAAATTTTGCCAATCAAATAACAAAAAATTGAAAAGATAGAATTTGATTTCCATTTTCCCTGAAATTGGGGTGCAATCAAACATAGCCTTATTCTATCCACTGTTGGTAAGAGAACAATTTCTTATATATCTATTCACACGTGCGCGCACGCGCACACACAACAAATGAACAAAAAAAAAATAATAATAATGCAATATATATATATTGCATTTTAACCTTATGTAAACTTACTAACAAGTAATGCTATTCATCATCAATATTGTTAAATACCAGTTTGGGTGACAATTACATGACATTAAAATTATATATTCATTTAAATTCAAAGTCAAATGATTCATTTAATTGAACATATATAGTGAAACCACATAAACTAGTGGTAGATAGAATTATTCTTTACTTCAATAGACAAGAATAAAATCAAATAAAATATATTGCTCTAAATTCATCCATTAATATTTATTCCCATTAAATGTTTTTGGGACCTTTTATATTCTTTTAGACATTGCGTTTGCCTAAATTCTTAATATTCAAAAAATATCTTATTCAACTAAAGCCAAAGCAAACAATGAAAGATATAAAATTAAAGAAAATATACAGACATATTATATATGAAGAAGACGTTGACTTGTTGGGTGTGCTGGTGTATTTGGTGTTACCTCAATCCATGTGATTTTAGGTCAATCTCTTTGCTATATTTACTAGTAAATGCTAGTCTCCGTTGAATATGTCCAAGTCATGCAATCGACCTTCACCAAAATTTTAATTTTGATTTTAACACTCACCAATCAGGGGCACAATGAATAAATTTAATAAGGATAACGTTAGAATGTAATGTGTGGATGATATAATATTTTTTTATAAAATTTTAATTTTTTTATAGGAATAGATTTAAAATTGGATAGATATATAAGAATAGAGGATGAAAATCTATTATCTTATAAAAATATTGATAATATTATTACTTGTTATAAATGCTAAAATAAATTTTACAATACTATCAGCAATAATAATAATACAAAAATACATTATTATAATAAATATTCAATAAATCATTTTTTTACCAAACTTTATAATGCTAATCTTATAACAATTCTTCTTGCAACAGGAAAAAATGGATTTTTTCGAATTACAGCAGTACCAAATGTCCAAATCAAGCCTGAGCAACTCCTATGTTTGAATACGTCAAAACAAATCCCTGGTCTGCGTGCATGACACGGGAAAGAGAAGTGTGAAACCAAAGATCCGAATGATTTTCTTTTGTAGACCCGAGAAAGAGAAGTGTTAAACCAAAGACTGGATGATTCCGGGAAAGAGAAGTCTAAAATTTTTTGAAGACTTGGCTTGTTTCCTCATCCGCAAATATTCATGGAGTGGGTGAAAAGAAAGATTAGGCTCTCAAAAAGGAGGAATGACAAATTATCGCCTTGGTACATTGAAAATGGAGGCAAGTTGTTAGAAGGGCTTATTGCTGCCTCAAATGGCAGGTATAATATTCCTTATCGTGTCTTCACTGTTGACGAACTTAATAAAGCAGCAAACTACGATTTCACCGGTGTAAGTAGTGATGATTCCAGGTTGGTTATGGTGGATGGAACGGGTTATTACATCAACGGCATTTTTCAACAACGGTCAATTCTGGTAAAGAAGTTCTATGGTTACGCTACCGGAGACAAAGGGGCGTCCTATGCTGTCAACGACATAGTAATCACGGTGTTGATGAACCGCCACAAAAATGTTTTGAAGGTATTGGGTTGCTGCTTAGATTTGGAAATACCTGCTATTATCTATGAAATCGGGAACAATTATGGACTTCTGCACGACCTTCTTTTTAGAAGGAACGAATGGAACTTCAAGAATAATATTGGTAGATCACTTTCTTGGAGTAATCGACTAAAAATTGCAACAGATGTTGCAAATGCCGTCGTTTATCTTCATACTGCATTTCCAACACCTATCATACATAGAGATCTAAGCAAACAAAACATCGTCATAGACGATCATGGCATTGCTAAGCTTGTCGATTTCTCACTCTGCATAGCACTGCCTCCCGGAGAATCACAGGTGGAAATGGAACTAGATATTGTTTCTATGAGGAAAGGATATATTGATCCCGAGTACATGACATCGGGCATTATAACAGAGAAGTGTGATGTCTACGCATTTGGAATTATTCTCCTCGAACTCTTAACTGGTCTTATGGGCCAGAGGCTTTACCATGTAGATGATCAACCTATTCCTTTACCGGAATATGTAAAAAATCACATTGACAAGAATGAGTTGAGTAAAATATTGGACCCAACAATTTTAGGGGAGAAAGGTGAAATAGAGCAGGAGCATCAATTGCAAGCTTTCTCGAAACTTGCTTTGAGATGTACTCGTGACGAAGGAGCAGATAGGCCGGAGATAATCGAAGTGGCAAAAGAACTAGTGAGGATTCAGAGGTCCGTTAATCAATTTTAGCGCATTCAAAAATTTGTATAAAGTTTGTTCCTTCCTGTAGGAATCGCTAAGTAATAAGTTTGCTACCGATTATTGCAACTTATAATAACAGTTGCATAGCCACCATGAAAGTGCTTGTGTGAAAGGTTCCAGTCATAATCGTCATTGAATTGCTAATTTGATGTTTGTTGTAGCAAATGTGTGGATTGTCCATCCATATATGAAAATTCCCCATGCACACTCCCCTCATATGAGGGGAGAACGCCCAATTAACGCGAGGGTTGCCCCCCATGTGAGGGACTGTACACGGAGCTGTAAGGCTCGGTGTACATGTAGCACAATTGTTTCATATACTATATTTTTCATGACATAATAATATTTTATAATAAATTTATGATTTTGTTTATTTATTGCATTTATATATGGAGCATGTAAGTGTCTATGACCATTAGCGATAATATACGTTGGATATTCGCATTAGGAATTACTGTATGACACAAGTTTTTATTATTATTATTATATATAATTTGTACACAAAAAATAAATAAGGATTGATACCTTATACTTGAAAATTGTAGGGTTAATTGATTTACTATTCGAATTTGCGATTAGTCCTCACCACGAAATAGTTTAAGGTGACACTAATGTACTGTACTAAACGACTCCCATAATTATGACAATCTGTCCTCCTTCACAAGGGTTTATGGCATCAGCCTTAACAGAGTAAAATTCACCTTGCTCGTTGGCCAGCTCATGTCTTGAGAACTCCTTTACCTGGTGGCAATAAATTATTGAAAAAATTCAATGAGATAGCCAACTCAACAAAAAATTCACTGGGATTGCCAAAAAAACTCAACTGTGGTGTTTTGTGTTCATTTGTTACAAATTTTTATAATCCTTTTTTACAATTCGTCTATTCTTCCCAAAAACAATATTTCCACTTTGTCTGTATGATTGAAACAAAGTCTTAGTGGGAACTATTTGGAACAGCATGGAAGACTGTCAAACTATCAGATTTGCATATCAAAAAATTGCAATCTTCTTCAAGATTTTCTATACTTTTTGTGTGGTTTCAGAATCAATCTTCCAAATCCAAGTGCAACTGCACAAGAAACAGAAGCTATTTATCATATTTATTCATAAGTTGGTTATATATGCGCTCTCTCTCTCTCTCTCTCTCTCTCTCTCTCTCATATTTTTTTTTCATTTTTGGTTAAAGAAAGCAAGAAGATATGTTATTTTATCGTAGTTTAGTTCGATTTTCCCAGTAATCTTCATGATTGTGTGGTCTTGTTAAGAAAATTTGATGCGCTTAGAGTGGTATGAATGGAATCATGCATCAAATTGTTGTGTTTTACTATTTTTCTGAAGTCCGTGGTCCTGTTTCCTTATCAAATTGTCACCAGCGGCATTTTTCAGCAGCAGTCAATTCTGGTGAAGTAGTTTTTTGGTATATTCCACTGGAGAAAAGAGGGCCATCCTATACTATCATGGTTGTCAAGTTGAGCTGCCTCAAAATGTTTCGAAGGTCTCTAGTCGCTGCTTAGATTTGAAAGTGCCTGTGATTATCTATGAACGCAGGAACAATGGTACATTACTGTTTGACATTATTGTCGGCATAAATTTTCGTTCGATAGTTGAATTCAGGATGGCAGTTTGATACTACTCTATAAAAAATAGTGTGCAACGACATTAAGTTTAAGCCGAACAAAAAGCATAGATGTCAAGGTAAATGTAATAAACTATACTTAGATGACTTGCTGTTACTATGATGATAAAATCTTACAGATATGTTTCATCGAAGTAAACTGTTGTCTTACTTCTTTTCTATACTGGTTGAAACTACGTTTCTGTGTCAGAAGAAGGATAGCTTTACTGATTCGATATACTCCAAGGTCACCCTCTGTACACTACTGGAGATCTCACAGAAATGAAATCTCAATGAATTTTCATTTATTGATCCCATCTTTTACAGAATCGATCCCCCTTTTTTATCTGAATATGTGGAGTTCAGCATGTCATAAAGGACGGGAGTCTAGCACATAGTTTTTTGCATCACTTTAAGATTAACATTGATATGAAGGCTGAGTTATTTGGAAAAGTAGTGGAAAGTAATAGGACCGTGTCATGGAGGACTAGGAGACGTGCAAAGAAGTTGCTTTAGGGACATGAGGTCCGACGAGTGCAGAGTTTGGAAAACTTGGGGCTTATGCGACTAAGGTACTAAGGATGAACCCAGGTTCTACAATTTCAATGCATTGGCACAATGTTTTCAAAGCAATCTACTTATGCTTGAGTGCTCTAAAGAAGGGGTTTCTAGCCTAAATTACGAGTCTCATTATTTTCGATGGTTTCTTTTGAAAGGAAATTTGGATGGCAATTGTCTAGCTGAAAAGGACTAATTTTCTGAATGGAGTAAATCACATTTCTCCACTTTTTTCAGTGTGTGATTTATTATTGAATAATCTATGCAAATGCTTCAACAACTACATCTTAGATGCTAGAATGTGTAATATTCTTTTTGTTGTTTCTAAGAATGCAGTGTAAATTAATTAAAAGGCTTCAACAACGAAGAAATTTGATGAAAAAACTCTATGGGGAGCTCTGCACCGTCCAAAGATAGAGAAGAAACTCGAGAAGTAGAAGGATGTTCTTTAGATTGGCTGTTGATTGGTGTGGTTCTTCCCTGTAACAAGTGGAATTTATAAAGAGACAGTTTGTGGTCGACATGAAAAATAGGACTTTAGCATGTCGTACATTATCCTAGGGCACTAACTGCCGAACGACCTAATTGGGTTACAGTCAAGAGGGGGAGAAAGAAAACAAACCTTAGGCAAAAGAATTAGTGAAAGAACAGACTATTAAGATGGTAAGGAAGGGATATATGCAAGGTCGATTTTTAAAAATTTTGAGACCGTAGATGACAAATTATTATGAGGTCTTAAATATAAGTTTTTTACAAGCATGAAAATCTTTTAGGTATCAATCATGATCAGTTCAAACCCAATTTCTCTATAGCGTTTAAAAAATGAAAAGAGCCCTTTAAAATTAAATAATTTATTTTTAACTTACATAAAATTTATAGTATTTGCTCCAGTTTGATCCCCATCTTTGGGGTAAAATGTATCAGTAAAGTTATCCTAACAGGGGTAGCTGACTGACAAATTTTGGAAACATGTTAGCACCTGTTTCGTTATCCTTCTTTTTTTTTCCTAACTATCCAATCAGTGAATGACATGTGTCTGAATGAATTAAATCATGTCCCGAACCCTTTTTTGTAGCGTTTATCTAAATATATTATAGAATTATGATTTTTTACAGAATATGTAGTTAAAAAGTAAGAAAAGTTTTTGAAATACGTGTATATGGGAGAATATGTTGTTGAAAATGAGATTTGAAAAAATGTATTCTTGAAAAAAAAGGGGGTTAGGGGCTATATATATTTTAGAAACTTCATAAGCTTAGCAAAAATCTACATTAGATGTTTCTTTAAATCAAAACAAAACAAAATTTAGCACTAGGTTTTAGTTTAAATTGTTTATATGGGTTGACTGGCTTAACAAGAACAAATAACCTGGTCTTTTTTCTTTCTTTCTTTCATTTTTATTATTTATTTATTTATTTATTTATTTTTGCCTTTTATTGTCGACCACCAGTGATGCTTATTTTTAATAATTAGCCTATTTGGCCGGATGCTTATCTAGTCTTTTGCGTTGATGATGATGGAGTAAATACAAAAAATTCTTTCAACTTATCAGTTAGCTTTTCCTCCAATTCGTACACAGATTTTTCAGCTCGACATTTTCCAATTCAAAATTGTTTGGTTTGCTAAGGAATAAGATTTAATTCCCTTTGTCTCGCTAGCACTTACGGATCAAATCATTGGCCACAACTATCAGAAACAAGTGACAAAGCTCGATATTCTTCATTATAGGATCAAATTAAGGTACAATTTATTTATTTTTCAAGTAACGTGACATTATTGAGAGTAATTCAATACATTACTACAAATTTTTTCATACTTTAATTACGTCGTTAGTAATACTATCAAATATTATACACAATTAAAATATCATTTAATAGTTGAATCTACAATTTAGTTGTGGTTCAAATCGTGGGTTGAGTGTCTTGAGGTGGGGAAAAAACGTAGTCGATCGTCAATATCGCTACATATGAGGTGAGTTGAAAATGTAATTATATGGTAAAAATGACAAACATGAAGTTGAAAAAAAAATTTAAAATTTTTTAAATACAAAACTAGACAAGATTTTATGCCTGACTACTATATTTACACTTTGATATATACTAACTGATCACATCAGCAGCCCTTTGTCTACGTTTGATTTTCTGTTAAATAATAGACGGCTGATAAATCCAGCAATCTGACTGACTAATTATAAATCAATTAATTATCCACCAATTGGTCCTAATTCATTCATAGAAAGTGACTGGGACAGAGCTAATAAATAAATGGAAAGAATCCACCGAATCTCATAGCTTTTTTATGTGAATGGAGCTCCCGGAGTAAACTAATTCCAGCAGATCTAGATCCCACTTCCACTTATCTCTGTCTACTCTCGTTGGTTGTACATTTCTGGTAATTAAGTTCGTTAGATTTTTTTCTTAATTTGTTAACTTTTCCACATTTGTTGGTTTTTTCATTGAGTAGTAAATACTGTGTGGATCTGTAGTTGGATATATTTCGGATGATTTAGTGAGATTTCTGATGACTTAATGAAGTCCCAACTGTTATACAGTGAAGTTGTTCACGGGGAATAATTTGAATATGTTTAGTTTTTCTGTTCACTACAGATTAATTCGATTTAAATCTTTTGTGATGTGGGTTTAGCTCGGTTCCTTGATTTAGGCTGTTTCAGATTGAGAAAGAAACTATTGGTGAAATTATATAAGCATGTTTGGTCCCGCTTTTGAGTAGCTGCTGCTTAGTTTACTGCTGAAATGAAACGGAGAAAAGCAGCTTAATATCATAGCCAAATATTCTCATGCCTACAATTTCTTTTCTTTTTGATCTCCTCAATTGAGGCAATGAATAATTCAAATTGTGGAATTATCGCGTGTCTGTGTGTAGCAATCAACTCATGGCTTCTTTCTAGGCTTGCATGTAGGATGATGTATTTCACATTCACTAACTGATCAGGAATGTCTTCTAGTTCAATTGTTTTAGTCAGTGTAATGTACTGCTACTAATAGATCTGAGGGCTGAGGCCCTCTTGGTATTAGGATTTCCAACTTGGGGTGTTCTGTATGACTGGGCTTATAGTAAACTAAAATACTCTGTTCTTACTCTATTTTTGGAATGTTTAATGGCATGATAATGTTTTGAATCTATGTTAATAACTTTTCTATGCAAGTGGTGATTGAGAAGTAATTTTTCTTTGAATGGTGTCTTTTATTATATGTATAAATGGAGCATTTTTGTTTCGAAAAGGTGATCTTATTTTCTACTGCATCAATTCCATATCTTGCAGGCTCATCACAACGGCAAAACAATGTCTAGAAGGCCCAATTCCACTCGTCGCCTTGCAGACAGTGGGAGCATTCCATTTGTGGGTTCATTGCACCCCAAATCACGTCCATCTCCACTATTATCTGTAGGGCTTCTTGTTGTGGTAAGTCTAATATCCTTCTCTTCAAGTTCTTCGCACACAAGGACATAGATAATCATAAAGACATGTATGCATAAATATTGAAAATAATGATCTAGGATTCCTTTATCATCAAGTGTCTACGTTAGTGATCCCTATTGAAATCATTTTTTTCCCTCTGAAATACATACATTCGTGCACTAGAAATTCATATGCATAGGGCATGATTTTTAATCTATATAATCTTTTATGGTTTGAAAAATAATCTTATTTGGGTGGAAAAGTACTAGTGTGCTTGCTTGCTTAATTCTAATATATTAGATTCTAATCTAGCTATGATCTTCCTTTGATTACTAAAATGCTGAAGAAGATGATTGGCTGATATTACAACATAGGTGCCTGTAGTTCTTCTATCTGACTTCTTTTTGGTTTCATTGGTTGAAAAATAAATAAATGCTACTAATAGGATGGAATATCTTTGTTTGAGAAATTTAACCATGCATGTGCAGGTGGTGTTTCATGCACTCTAGAACTTCAGAAATTAATTCCTATTCTTAAGAAAACATATGGTGACAGCATGAGGAAAGTGTTGCACGTAGGCCCTGATACCTGTTCAGTAATCTCTCAACTATTAAAAGAAGAAGATATTGAAGCTTGGGGTGTAGAGCCATATGAGTTAGATGATGCTGATGCTACCTGCAAAAATCTTGTACGGAAGAGCATTGTGCGTGTAGCTGATATCAAGTTTCCTCTTCCCTACAGGGCAAAGTCATTTTCTCTTGTCATAGTGTCTGATGCATTGGATTACTTGTCGCTTGTCATTTAGATTACTATTTATTTTATGTGAGTTGTAGAGTTTATATCAGTTGATGTAATCATAATTTTTGAATTTTTTCATGATAGGTTCAAGGAATGGTGACATCGCGGCTTTAAGTAGACTGGATGGTATATTTTCAAGCTATAAAAGCATTAACCTTTACATTAATTGGTTACCAGCAAGGGTATCGGCTGATGGTTTAGTTATATTATCTGGTAATTCTTTAGAAACCATGGCATAATATATTTATTAACAGTTCTGCACATGTTACATATAGCAAGTGGAAACTTACCATGTTTGTTTCTTTATAGCTAGGAATTGATACAGGCCTTTTATTATGTTTTCATGTTTACTTTTGGAAGGTCTCACTTAAACATCCTATGCCATAGTAGTTAGGTGAGACTCATGAATGGTGCCTTTTACCAACATGGATTTAAACATTTTCGGCTATTGTCTAATTATTGTTTCGAGGCCAGTGACCTTACTCGAGTTTATTTACTGGTGTTAGAGTCTTCTTCTTGGTTATGTCCATTTGGGTGAACCTGGATTTTTGGAACTGGGCCAGCTGGCAATATTTTTGACTCAACAAGCACTTCTTGTATCTAGTGAGAGATTTTTAATATCTTGTCTAACATTGTTTATGTGGAAGTTATGTGAATAGTTTCTAAATAGTTGACTCAATACCCTTGATAACATGTTCTTAAAAGCATTTTGTGATGGTTTATGCACAATTATGTTTGCCTAGGCAGTTTGTAAATGACTGAAGTCCTTATTATGTTAATTAGATTATCAGGTAAGGAAAATGTCAAGTTTAATATTAAAATGGTTTGAGTTTCAACTCTTAACCAAATATTTTAAAAGCAAAAAACCCTTACTAGTAGATATTGTTTGTAAACCAAAAATAAATAAATAAATAAATAAAATAAAATGCGCTTAACCATATAGGTTTATTAAGTACAGTATTATTCTCAAGAACCAATACCATCTTTGAACACTTCACCACTTATTTGCTTTCTTGAAAGCAACAAGTATGGACTTGCATACCCACTTGCCAACCCACATATTTGGCATACTTATGTGCAGGACCATCCCACACATTTGTGTGGCAAATAAGCTGGTTCAAACGTGCTCATCTTGGTTCCAAGTGATCAAGGTTCAAATATATGACGGAGATTTTGAGAATTACCTGAGGCTTATTGTTAAAATGGGCCCATATGGAACTTAGTGCACCAATCCCAAATGCCATCAGAGTTTTGAATTTGAATGTGCTTGGGTGAGAAGAATACTGGGATGGTGACACCTGGAAAATCTTCTTTCACCTTCCATTTAGCTTATAAGGAACCAGTTTAGGCCAGTGGTGTAGGCAACATGTTAGAGCTTGACTTGCCGTCATAGTTTAACAGCATATTTATCGACATATCTGGTTGTATCATCCCTGGACTGCACTATCCTCACGCTTTTCCAAGTAAATGGTACTGTGAGGACATTTCCACGTATCAATAATCTGTTTAGGCCAATGGTCTTGGCAACATGTTATTTTGACTTGAATGCATATTGCAAGGTAGTGACACTTAGTATTTATAGGGGGCGTTTGTTTCTCATTTTTGTAAAAATGAGAATGAAAAATATAGCCGTTATAAGCCCCACATAAGAGATAGAAATTTAAATTTGGTGACTTGATGTGATAGATAACGGTCATATTTTTCATTTTAATTAGGAAATAATAGCAAACAAACAGGGGCATAATTTCTAAACCACTCAAAAAATTTGTAAGGTACATACTGAAATATCCTTCGTTCCGAATTATGGCCTATTCTACAAAGTAGGCTTAGGGGTGTAAAGTGTTTTTCTTGCTGGTGCTACGACCTACATTTTGGAGGGGGCCTGTGTCAGGCCTTGCATGACCTAACATTTTGTGTTGCGTGCCTGACCAAGCTACACACGATGGAAATCCCCACCAGCCTGTGCTGAGGGTTTTTTTATAACAAAATTTAGAAAAAGAACTGAAATCCCCCACTTTCCCGACAGCCAAAATTGGAAACCGATCACCATTTTGTTGAAAAACAGTTGATGTAAGTTGTGGGCTTAGGATGTCTAACCTGGCTTCCTCATCAGGCCACGGTTTGCGCCAATATGAAACTTGTGTCTAGTCATACTAGCTCAACCAACTTTACACCTCTATTTGTACTAGAGGTGTAAAGTGGGTTGGGTTGGCATGGCTCGTCATGGTGTTTCATATAGGTTGGTTTTGTGCCAAACATCTATGGTCTCTGATCCACATGGACCAAACTTTTTGGCAGTATGGTGAATCTCCAGTTGGAGCCCTTGGAGGGGATTTGTTTTCTTTATCCTTTATTAGAAAAATTATTGGCCCATGTGGGTTAGCTTGACATGGACTATGCCGTGCCATATAAAGTTTCACTGCATCAGGCTTGGCTAGCCACACAAATTCTAGTTCATGTGAAGCCTGTAAGGAAACCTATCACAAACCTCCAAATTGTGGATCATGCTGCTGTTGTGACCCCACTTTATACCCTTAGCTCAGACTCATCCTAAGGTGTACCATATCAGGAGCATCACTTTGATACCGCTTATAAATAACTAAAATTATAAGAGTATAGTAATGTTCTCTGTCTTTTGTTTTAGTTTTCTCTACCTTCCTCCTCGGAATAAGGCGAAGGCAATAAAACCCTTCCTTCAGCTTGGATGGTGACCCTTGAAAGCCCGTGATTTTTTCCCCCTATTAACTTATAAGCAACCAATTTAGGCACTGATATTGGCAACATGTTAGAAACCAAGCATATTGCTAAGTAGCGAATATTTTGAGTTTTATAGATCATGTATATACTTCCCAACTCCTTAATATTGGATTTACCTCATGTAATTTCATGGCATACACTACAAACTGAATCTCACCCATATGGACATCCCATGAGGGTGGCTCTTATTCCACTCGCAACTCTCTGGCCAAATCCCTAATCTTTTGAATACTTGGGAGCTCGATACAAATCGAAAATTCTGAAGGCTGTGTTGCAAGGAAGTTGCTATTCATATTCTTGACGAACTATTCTCATAATTTTCAACCAACCGATATGGGATGAAGTGTTATGGTCATTCTCTTGCTGGCTATCTAATTTATAATAAAGCTATATCTACTCATTTTCAAATTTTTATATAGGTTTTCCAGGTCATCAAAGAGCTAAAGTGGCAGAGCTATCGAAGTTTGGTCGCCCTGTAAGTGTCAGTTTACAAGAATTTTAAGTTAATACCTGGACCAGATTTTATGTCGTTGATCGAAATTTTTAACCTTTTGATTACCTTCCTTCTTTCTGCATAAAATAATTGGATACAAACAGAAAAATTATAGTGAATAGCGAATTTTTTGCTTTTCACTATGATGCTGGGTTAAAAATGGTTGATAATGCAATGCTCTAAGGTTAAACTCCAAAAAATAGTGAACAACTAATTCTTGTTAGATATCTCGTAGTCTTCTTATAACTCAACTTTCTAAGGTTTATTTCCAAAACATTGAACACTGATCTCTGTCTTCTGTAGGCTAAACTGCGAAGCTCGTCTTGGTGGATAAGATTTTTCATTCAAACCAGCTTAGAAGAGAACGAAGCTGCTACTAAAAAGTTCGAGCAAGCAGCAGCCAAGAAGTCGTACAAGTCGACTTGCCAAGTTTTCCACCTCAAACCTTTGCATTAATTATCCACTCAACATATATAGCCTCTTTGTGAAAATGATGCAAAAGAGCATCTTTAGTTCTTACAAGCTTTAAATTATAAAGGTGGACTTTTTTGTTTCCTTGATTTATTTTAACGAGACACAAGTATTGTTTGATTGAAATTTTTGTTTGTACAAGTTAGCATCCGCCAAAATGTATTTTTTTCAAATAAGACACTTAAAAGTGGGGAATTCACATGTGAAATTGAAGAAAAAGTTAGTACACATTACCATTATAATCTTGCTACATTTACATTTGTCTTTACATGAACTTTTACACTCTTTCATATGATAAAATCTGAACTCTTGATTTTGAACATGTTCATCCCATCACTGCATATATTTCTTCCATAGGTTGTGCTACTTGGCCAGGGTCACATGGGCCTTAATAGACACCTCGGTCCCATGGCCGGTCCTGAGGCGAGGCAAATGAGGCCCAAGACTTAGGGGCCTCATTTGAGCCCCAAAATTTTTTATTTTTTATATTATTATTATTATTATTTTCTCTTTCAAAACAAGACAAAATAGCCCAGATCCAATGGTGTGGGATTTGATGTAAATTTATTAAAGACAAGATCTAAAATGGTTAAATTTGGGGTTTATTTTTTTGAAAATGATGTGGAATTTGATAAATTTTATAAATCGGTGTCTGTAAATATTCATGTCATTGTTTTATTTTTGTACTAAAACTTTGCGAAGATAGATATTTATGTGATTGTATTTGTTAAATCCATGTCATCGTCTTATTTTTGTACAAAAACTTTGCGAAAATATTACTATATTTTACATTTCTTTCATTTTAAATCTCTTTAAAAGGGATAGAAAGTCGTATTTTAATCTATATGTATATTTTTATTTAATTTTAGTTGATAATAAATCTTTAGTCAATTATGCCGATTTCTTAATATGCACTTCCACATTTGGCACAGGTTCCTTAAGTCTATAATTAAATCTTTGATTTTGTTATTTCATAATATATTGTTGAAATTTTACATTTACGTTAATTTCGTCGAGACCTAATTTGTGGAATTCGCCTTGGGCCTCGACAATTACAGGACCGGCCCTGCTCAACCCTATGTAACCCTAGCCAAGAAGAATAATCCTTCTTCCATAGAAGGGATGATTTCAACTATGGATGACAATTTGGCTCGTCAGCTCAGATTGCTTGTGGCTCAGCTCAAAAAAAGGTCGACTTGACCTGATTCGAGGCGTGGGCCAAGCCCATTTTGGGGTGTTAGGTCGAGCCTAGGTTGGCCCTTGTGGCTCGTTGGGTCGGCTCTTAAAATAAAAAGAAAAAAAAAAAGAATCGTAAAGAGGCAATTGTGACACTGTTGCCTTTTTAAAGGCAGCACACTGCTGCCTATGTGTGATAGAAAAAATCAAGCCAACTCGATTTGACTCGTTTACATTACTAATTTCAACCACATTTTCAAGGACAATGTACATATAGCTTAATAAAAAAAAAAAAAAAAAAGTTGAACCCCAATCTTGAGAGCCCCCATCGTCCCGACTCTAAAGCTTTGTGAGGAAGGTAAATCGCGAGATGTGCCCCCAACAACCTAGGGAACAAGAGCTGCCTGTACACTGCGCCTACAAGGAGTCCAATTTCATATTTCAGGTATCGAACCTCCACCCTGCGACTGCCAGCAAGGCGTAAGATAATCTCACTCCTATCCTTTGCATTACTGGACCATGCCCCGAGGGGCTACATATAGCTTAATTGCTATTGTTACATGTATATACTGTATAGATAGTAGGACAATGTAAATAATTTTATTGGGAAATTGGACTCGAGATTTATTATATCCATTATTGTACGAAGACAATATTTCAATTAGAAGAAAAAAAAATTAATATTCCTCAAATAAAAAATGTCGATTCTCTTTATAACTAATTAATATGTATATTGCTTATTCATTTTGGGTCCCAATTAATAGTGGAGGCTACCATTATCTAATTCACGTCATCTATTCATTCTATGTTCCAGCATTTAATACACATGTCAATTAGAAAGTTACAGGGAGTACTAGAAAAAAAAAATTTCCAGTTAAACATGCAATTATTTTTATAAGACTAATGCTATTCATCATTAATAAAAATTATTATCATTTACCAATCTATGTAACAGTGAGTATTATTATTATTATTATTATTATTATTATTATTATTATTATTATTATTATTATTATTATTATTACTACTACTACTACTAGTGAAGACACGTGCGTTGCACGTGTTAGTGGGCGATATAGTGTGAGTAATAGTGCTAGAATTTGGTCATGTAGTATTTGAATGAAGAGTGAAACTTGTTTCGAATGATGATTACATTGAATTATATGAAATATTTGTTCACAGTACTTACATTGGGGTAGTAATATGCAGCAGTTATAAGCCATACTTGGTAATAGAGGTATTAACATGTTAATATGTACAATGAACAAAATGTAGTACGACAAGTAGAGATGTTGGGAGTGAGGTGCGTTGGACTGTGGGCATACACATAAACATACATGGGCTAAGCTCATAACCTTGTAGCTATTCGAACATAAAGCTAATAGTAAAAACTTGCTCGGTTGGGATTTTGAGTTATGGATCAGCGATGTAGCGTACATCTGCATTAGATTTGTCTTCCTTTCTCGTATTCTGTAGTCTTCTTCCTCTCTCTCTCAGACTGGGGCTCTTTTGCTTTTAGTTTATCGGATAGGGACCTTAATGAGGTAGCTAATGATCATTACGATGTGCTGAAACGAATTTAAGTAGTCTCAAGTGCTGAAATTCACGAGGGAGCGAATACAGAATGAAAGTTCATATATACAAATGATTTAAGAAGTTCGTATAAGATTCTCATCAACTATGGTAATAATATGCCATGTTAACCAATGCAACATATGGACAAATCAGATGGAAAGGCAGTATGCCAAATTTCCAGCTATGGTAGTAGAACATCATGTTTCAGAATCTATGTAATAAAGACTTAAATATCAATAGCTCATTTATATTGGCAACTTACTTAGTAGATGATTGTAATGCATATTTAATTGATAACAATAGTAGGATGCAGGTCTAGTTAGACAAGCTACGAAAATCGGGTTGTTAAATTTTATAATTTCAAAGCTTTAAATAAAAACATGCCCAACATTCAAACTTTGGAAAGGAATCTAAAATACAATAAATAAATAAAATTCTATTGAGAAGAGAGAAAACTAATCAAAGGAATGACGAATCAAAATCCAAGCATTTCTATTGACGTCTATTTGTTCTAAGAAGAATGATTGACCTATCCCTTTCACCCATTCTGTTTCTCCCTTTTTTCTTTTTCATTGTTGTCCACAGCACCAATTTGAATCCCTCAAAGAGGAAATCATCCCTGAAAGCAGAAGAAGAGAGGCAAGGAAAATTTTTCATATCAAGGTCAGTGATATGAAGGCAGAAGTAAGAAGGATAGAAACTTGATGCGGTACTTTATTTTTTATCACACAAACCATTTTGGTCGATTAAATAAAGAACTAAGAAATCTAGGGAAAAAAAAACAATTAAACAAAAAAACCAGTCTGTAGTTTGAAATGAAAAGGAAGTTATTTTCATAATGAGAATCATATGAGAAGTCAGTATATACCTGCGGGCGATTAGAAACCAAAAAATAACAATCAAGATTGGCTAAACAAATTATTATGCAAGTAAATTGAGCACAAGACAAAAGTGCATATATCGAATGATGGCAAGTGCTTCTCATATCATGTCCCTGATCTTTCTTCCTCTTCGATGTCCCAGTCCAATTTCAATAACTACTATATAATAGAATAAAGCAAAATCAGTTGTTTCCCTAGAAAGCACTAAAATTAAGCAAAAAGATTAACAAAAGTGCGATGTATTTCAAACATTATGCTTCAAAACAAAAAATTACCTGATACCCCTTACTATGCTTAGTACTTCAGAATGCCTAGATGAATTTTTGTTAGCCATGAATAGGCTGCCATGGACAAATATTAGAACACAAAAATACCTTATCTTGGTGCAAAGGACAAAATGATTACTTGTATATTTTTCAATGTTCTCTTTTCTGCCTCAAGATGATGATACAGAATGAAGACAAATTGTATGAACTAAAAACCCAAATAAGCCTTATTGTCGACAAATTGAGGTCCAGAAAAATATTGGTTTTTGTTGGAATTAATTAAATGTAATTGGGTTAAAACATGAAATGTAATATTTAATGATGTGGGCCATTGCAATTAATTTGGGTGAATTGGAAAAGTCTCCAATATAGGCCTATATATTGATAAACCCATTTTAAGTATTTTATATATGGGAAGGAATCCCACATCGAAAGTTTACAAGAAAATAGTCTTATTTATATAGTAGGTTGTGTGAATAATATATAATTTAATAAGTTACCTACCACTGGGCTAACTTTAGCTAGCCAAAGGCTAGTCACCACTGGAGTGGTGCTTCGCACCACTCGCGCCGCTCCCCGGACCCGAACCAGGTCCTGACACGTGCACGCACACGTCGCAAAGTACGCATTGGGGGCTTTAGAGGCGCACTTGGCACGTACGCATCGTCTTGAGGAGCTGGGGAGCCTTATAGTTTTCGAAAATGGACTCGTGGTTCGATGACGTGGCAATGCAAGGCTCGGTGAGTTGGCATTCTAGGTGGCGCACGTGTGGTAGGTCGCGTCCCTTCGTCCTGCGTGGCGGTTAGATGTACCTGATAAGTGTGTTTTTGCACACTTATTTACATCACAAACATGACTTAAATACAAGTAAAATGATTGAATTATTACTTAACTTTGTCAAATTCATGCAATGTAGGAAATTCAATGGAAATAGTGGAATTCAGGATAAAAGAGCCGAAAAAGGACCAAATCGGAGCAAAATGAAAATTCAGGGACCAAATTGCAATTATTTGAAAGTTGACCCGATGAACACATCAAGCAATTGATCAAGCCAAGCACCAATTGGAAGTTATAAGGGAACATTGGAGCAACTAGAAACAAGAGAGGAGGTCAAGGAGTGAAGGAATGAAACTTGAGAACCAAAATGACTCAAACAAGAAAGTAGCTCTACTATGCGGTCGCATAGTATAAAACCTATGCGACCGCGAGTGAACCTCCAGGGATTAAAAATGGCGTGCGGTCGCATAGGTTATGCCTATGCGGTCGCATATGTATAATTTTTCCCGAATTTCGCAGTTTCCCTATATGATTGCAACTCCTTTGATAACATAATTTGGATGGGTTTAAATAGCAACAAGACGTCCAGAAGCCGCACGAACAACTTGGAGGCAAAAACGTTCATCTTGGAGTGGAATTGAAGGCAAGAACAAGAATTGATGCGAGATTTACAAGATTTTATTCAATCTTTGATAACCCAGTGATGTATTTTATTCATATTTTGTTAGATTTCGTTATTTTTTTCATGATAGGCTAGATTTTTGCAACTAGGTGATCGATGAACCATGTAATTATTATTAAACATACTATTTCATGATTTTGAATTATTAGTTTGATGGGATATTTGAATGGATTATATTGGTTTATTTATTTCCACGATTAATGTGCACTTGATTTGTGTGAATTTGGTGGTTTAATTCTGAATTTGAGAAAATTAGATTAAACTCGACATATATAATTCATCATAGGGTCCGATGGGGGATAGAAATATACCCCTATACCTTATGTAAATCTTTAATTGCTCACAAAAAGATTATATGCGTTCTTGTATAATTGCATCCGTCGTAGAGATATAGGCTGATGATTTATGAGAATAGGTTCAATACATCTCGAGAGAGAGTATTGAATAGATTTATGAGCATTGATTTATCAAATTCTTATTGAATTGTCAAAATTGTGAAATTAGGGTTTAATTGGTAATTATTTGGGGATTCGTGATCCTAGTGCATTCGTTTTACATAGATTTTCTTAAATTGACAATATATTTCATTTATTTTTCATAACACTTCGTAATTGAGTCATTAGTTAAGTGAATTTAAGTAATTAGGGTTTGATTTGAAGTTAGGATTTTTCAATTGGGGATTTCCCCCAATTTAGGGTTTGATTTGAAATTAGGGTTTTTCAATCTGGGGATTTCCCCCAAAATTAGGATTTTTGATTCCAAAATTCATTTTAACTCAATTAGTTTCGGTTAAGGCTAAAATAAGTAAAAATTGAACTACTCTTTCTCTGTGGGACGATACTCGGACTTCTAAAGTCCATTTTATTACTTGTCACGACCCATACACTTGCGGTAATTTAAATCGAAAGAAATATTTCACGAACAAGTTTTTGGCGCCGTTGCCGGGGATCGAGTTTGGTTTAATTTTATTTCTCGAGGCACTAATTCGAACTTAATTTTTATTTAGCATAATTTTGTTTTTATTTTTATTTTTATTTTAGTTTATTATTCTCTATTTGTATTTTAGTTAATTAAATTGTTTGAATCGAAGTGCTCGTACTGGTTTTAATTCTCAGATTTGCATGTCACGATTGGCTGGAGGAGAATTGATTCCAGCTGATCCTGAAATTGAGCGCACCTTTCATCGACGACAAAGAAATCACCGCGAAGCACAAGTACAAATGACCAACGAGTTAAACAATCCCATGATTCATGCTAACGAAGGAGAGGCAATGGACGAAGGGAATAAGATTATGGGGGATTTCTTGACTCCTCAAGTGATTCAAAGCCAGTCCAGCATAGTGTATCCACCGTTTGGGCAACCTAATTTTCAGTTGAAGACCAATGTGATACAGCTGTTTCAAAATGGACACCAATTCTATGGCAAGGCTGAGGAGAACCCACACACACACGTATCTCGATTTCTGGATATGTGTCAACATTTCAGATACCAAGGGGTTTCGGATGATGTTATTAGGTTGAGGCTCTTTCCACATACATTACGAGACAGAGCACTTGAATGGTTGGATTCACTCCTGGTTGCAAGTATCACTACATGGAATGAACTGGCACACAAGTTTTGCACAAAGTTCTTCTCCCCAGCCAAGATAGCAAAGCTGAGACATGATATATCAATATTCAATCAAGGAGAAACTGAATCATTTGATGAAGCCGTAACAGATTTAAAAACATGCTCCGAAAATGCCCTCAGCATGGGTTCGATAAAAAGACCCAGATCCGATTCTTCTACACAAGATTACTTTCATACCATAAGAGTATGGTAGATTCAGCATCAGATGGCTCAATATCCACAAGAACAGTTGATGGGGCATTGGAATTATTTGAGCGAATGGTTACCACATCAGCCATGTGGTCTTCTGAGAGGGCAACTCCAAAGAAAACTCCAGGTGCCTATGAGGTGGACGCTTATTCAGCAATCTCTGCAAAAATTGATTCTCTGTATCACAAGGTGGAGAGCATATCACAAGCATCACAAGCTAAGAAGAGCAATTGTAAGGAATGTGGAGCCGAACACAAAACATCAGATTGTCCTATACTCATGCAAGGAATTAAGCAAGCAGACTACGCACAGTGGGGACAACGCCAGTAGCATAATCAATATGGTGAGACTTTCAATCCCAGCTCGAAGAAACATCCCAACTTCTCCTGGAGCAACCAAAATCAGAATAAGCCACAGGGGCAGTTTCAACAACAGGAGAAGAGGCCTTAATTGGAAGATATGATAGGAAAGTTCATGGAGAAGGCCGAAGCTACACTTCAAAATCAAAATGCAGCCATCAAAAATTTGGAAACTCAGATAGGGCAGCTAGCCATCGCATTGACTGGCAGAACACTAGGTAACTTACCAAGTAATACATAAACCAATCCTAAAGAGCAAGCAAAGGCCATTACAACTCGAAGTGGAGTTCAATTACCTGAAATTCATGTCAAGAGATCAGGAGTGATTGGAGAAACATCTTCCTCCGCTGAAGAGGAGACAGTTGTAAAGGAATCAAGTTCAAAGGAAAATTCACAAGAATCACAAAATAATGCCAAAGTCACAGTCAACCCCTACGAACCTCCGATTCTCTTTCCATAGCGCTTGAAGAAACAAAAAGTGGAGTAACAATACAAAAAATTTCTAGAAATCTTCAAAAAGCTCCATATCAACATCCCGCTAGCAGATGCACTATTCCAAATGCCTAGCTACGTGAAGTTTCTGAAGGATATCATATCAAATAAACGCAAGCTGGAAGATCATGAGACAGTCATGTTTACTGAGGAATGTAGTGCCAGAATTCAGAATAAGCTTCCATCAAAACTAAAAGATCCAGGGAGTTTTACTGTTCCTTGCACAATCGGTGAAGTATATTTCGATAAAGCATTATGTAACCTCGATGCCAGTATTAATTTAATGCCTTTCTCTATTTTCAGGAAACTAGGATTGGGAGAAGCTAAAGCAACCACTGTGACACTTCAACTGGCTGACAGGTCACTGACACATCCCAGAGGCATAATTGAAGATGCACTTATCAAGGTTGAGAAGTTCATATTTCCAGCAGACTTTCTTATCCTGGACATGGAAGAGGACAAGGGCATTCCCTTGATACTTGGCAGACCATTTCTGGCAACAGGGAGAGCATTAATAGATGTTCAAAGAGGTCAGTTGATTTTAAGATTGGGAGAGGAGCAGATATCATTCAATGTATTCAAGTAATGAAGTTACTAGCAGAATCTGACAGCTGTTATCAAAATGACATTATTGACAAGGCAGTACAAGAAACATTTTTACTTCACGGTCCATCTGACGCCTATGAGGCATGTATTGCACAATCCCAATCAATCCAGTCAGAGTCTGTTGAAGTTGAAACATGTGCAAGATTTTTGGAGACCAACCCGCCATATACATGAAAGAGGCACTTCGAGGAACTGGGGACGAGAAACACAAAGCCACTACCTTCAGTTCAGCAACCGCTAGTTTTAGAACTCAAACAACTGCCGCCACATCTCAGATATGCTTATTTAGGAGAATCAGATACACTTCCAGTAATCATTTCGAATACAGTCAGTGAAATGGAGGAGGAAAAACTGCTCAAGGTACTTAAAGAGAACAAAATGGCGATTGGTTGGACAATAGCTGACATTAAAGGAATCAGTCCTTCCCTGTGCATGCATAAAATTTTAATGGAGGAAAATTGCAAGCCTAGCATGGAAAGTCAGAGAAGATTGAACCCGAACATGAAGGAAGTAGTCAGGGCAGAGATACTGAAGTTATTGGATGCAGGAATTATTTACCCAATTTCAGATAGTGCATGGATCAACCCTGTTCAAGTGGTACCGAAAAAAGGAGGAATCACAGTGGTGAAAAATGAGAAGAATGAACTAATTCCCACCAGAACAGTTACGGGTTGGAGAGTTTGCATTGACTATCGCAAACTCAATACAGCTATATGTAAGGATCACTTCCCACTCCAATTCATTGATCAGATGTTGGAGAGGTTGGCTGGACATTCACACTACTGCTTTCTTGATGGATACTCGGGCTATAATCATATACCTGTCGCGCCAGAGGATCAGGAGAAGACCACTTTCACTTGTCCCTACGGTACTTTTGCTTATCGTAGGATGCCTTTTGGTATTTGTATCGCTCCAGCCACATTTCAGAGGTGCATGATGGCAATATTCTCTGACATGATTGAAAGGTTTATCGAGGTTTTCATGGATGACTTCTCAGTATTTAGATCTTCATTTGATGAATGTCTAAACCACTCTAATTTGGTCTTACAGAGATGCAAGGAGACTAACTTAGTTTTAAATTGGGAAAAATGCCACTTTATGGTGCAAGAAGGCATTGTACTTGGGCATAGGATATCGGCAAAAAAATTGAGGTAGACAAGGTAAAAATTCAAGTGATTGAGAAATTACCACCACCTACATCAGTTAAAGGAGTTGGTAGTTTTTTGGGGCACGCTAGGTTCTACCGGAGGTTTATAAAATATTTCTCGAAGATCACTAAACCTTTATGCAACTTACTAATGAAAGATGCAACTTTTGAGTTCAATGAGGATTGTCTCACAGCTTTCAACACTTTAAAGGAAAAGCTTACGGCAACACCAGTGATTGTAGCTCCAGACTGGGAATTACCTTTTGAGTTGATGTGTGATGCAAGTGCAGTATTTGGACAGTGGAGGAACAAGATTTTTCATGTGATCTACTATGCTAGCAGAACTCTAAATGATGCACAACTAAATTATGCAACCACTGAAAAGGAGATGTTGGCTGTGGTGTTTGCATTTGACAAATTCAGGTCATACCTCATCGGATCTAAAATCATCGTCTATACTGATCATGCTGCATTGAAGTATTTGCTCACAAAGAAGGATGCAAAGCTGAGATTAATTCGTTGGGTGCTGGTATTGCAAGAATTTGACATTGAGATACGCGACAAGAAGGGCACCGATAACGTAGTAGCAGATCACCTATCCAGACTAGAATCTGGGGAGACGAAAGATTTAGTGGATATAAATGAGATCTTCCCGGATGAACAGATGTTGAGAGTGGATGAAGCACCTTGGTACGCAGATATTGTCAATTACTTGGCCAGTTCCATTCCACCACCTGACTGCTCCAGTCACCAAAGAAAAAAATTCTTTGCCGAGTTAAAGTACTACTTCTAGAAGGATCCAATTCTCTATAAGCGATGCGCTGATCAGATAGTTAGGAGGTGCGTACCTGAAGAAGAAGTACATGAGATTCTCAAGCACTGTCACTCATCCGCATATGCAGGGCACTTTCGAGCTTCAAAAACAGCTGCAAAGATTCTACAATCCGGTTTCTACTGGCCTACATTGTTTAAAGATACATTTGAGTTTGTTAAGAGATGTGACAGATGTCAACGCACTGGGAATATCTCGAGGAGAAATGAAATGCCACTGAACAATATTTTGGAAGTGGAGATATTTGATGTTTGGAGAATTGACTTCATAGGACCTTTTTCCCCTTCGTTCTAAAACCAGTATATCTTGGTGGCAGTCGATTACGTCTCAAAATGGGTGGAAGCAGTTGCATTGCCAACAAATGACTCAAAGACAGTAATTGGTTTCTTGAAGAAATACATTTTCACCCGATATGGTACACCGTGGGCTATAATAAGCGATAGGGGTAAGCATTTTTGTAATCGCCAATTTGAGCAACTACTGAATAAGTATGGCGTTAAACACCGCGTTGCTACTCCATATCATCCACAAACCAGCGGGCAAGTTGAAGTATCTAATCGGCAGCTGAAGAGAATACTAGAAGTCACTGTGAATTCATCTAGAAAGGATTGGTCTAAAAAGCTGGACGATGCATTATGGGTTTACAGAACAGCATTCAAGACCCCGATCGGCATGTCTCCATACCGCCTAGTCTTTGGGAAAGCATGTCATCTGTCATTAGAAATGGAGCATCGAGCATATTGGGCTATGAAACAGTTAAATATGGACTTGAATGCCGCCGGAGAAAAGCGTCTACTGCAACTGAATGAGTTAGATGAATTTAGAATGGAGGCTTATGAGAATGCAAAACTTTACAAGGAGCGAACCAAGAAGTGGCATGATATGCACATTCAGAGGCGAGTGTTCGAAGTGGGGCAGCAAGTACTACTGTATAATTCAAGACTCAAGTTATTCCCAGGAAAACTACGATCACGGTGCTCGGGTCCCTACACGGTTACAAAAAATCTACCATATGGGGCTATACAAATGAGCAATGAGAATAAGGGTACCTTCACTGTCAATGAGCAAAGGTTGAAACACTACTGGGGTGGTGACTTCTCTAAACAAAAGTCAACCGTTCAACTCGAGACGCCAGAATGAAGTGGCCGCAGAAAAGTCGAGCTATCGACTATAACTTAGCGCTGGGTGGGAGGCAACCCATTGTATCCTTTTTATCTGTTTATTTACTTTATTATGTTTTCTACATTAACTTAGAAAGTTTATTTTCACATTCATTTAGTATTCCGTTATGTGGTCATCAATCATCGAGGCATTTAAAAGAGTCCAATCACTGTGCACACGAGTCATTAAGTATCACACACAAGTTCGGGTTGATTTACGTTGTTTTGGGTAGTTGACTGTGGGATTCACGTATTTCAAGGAATATTATGTTTTCTAAATTTTACATGTCAATATTTTGAAAATATGTTTTTGAAAAATTTGGGAGCGTTGAGAGTCGGGTCTTTTCCAAAAAAAAAAAAAATAATAATAATAATAATTTTTTTTGGGGACAAAAATCGAATTTTTTTGGAAAAGAGACTTTGTTTTATTTATTTTATTTTATATAAAAAAAAGTGTGTCTATGCGATCGCATAGACATGGTGTCTATGCGAACGCATAGACACCTCCCGAAGTTCAAAACTAGAAAATCACTAAATCTATGCGACCGCATAGAATATAACTATGCGGCTGCATAGACAAAAAAGGCATGGGTTTTTAAACCACGCCCGAATCAATTTCTTAGGTTTAAAATCGATTTTTCCCAAACCCTCTCTCGCCCAAATCCATCATAGATCAGATTTTTGTACTTAATAACACTTCAATCACCTACATTACACAAGACTCTTGAGGTTGGAGAACACATCATTTTGAAGGTATGCCTTTGGACTATATCCCTCTTTGTACTCATTTTTTTTAGTTGTTTTCGAATTGATTTTTTTATATTTTGGGGAGATTGGGGTATTGATGGTGGATGGAGTGTATTGTTTGAATTCAACTGTGTCTTGGGGTAATTCGAATTTTTGAGTTATTGAATTTTATATGGATTTCTAAGGAATGCATGCAATGTGTTTGATAAATTGCCACATTGTTCCTTTTGGGTATTTTGGTATATTTTGCCTTAACTTCATTTGATTGATGGATGTGTATGCGTTTGGTGATTGTTTTTGAATGGGGAACCATGTGAACAAGTAAACTTTTAGCTAGTATATGAAGGTCTCACAACGCATACAACATGTTCGATTAAATGCCCATCTTGGTACTCTAATACATTTATGAAAATCTAGCATGGCATCTGACTATTCGATGAATGGAATAACTCATTGTGACATATTACCAAACAATATGACTTAGACAACATCAACACACACATGCACAAAAATAGCTAAGTCATAGCATGCCCACAGCACCCTTCGTCCCTTATGTTACACTACTATTTGACACACCAAACGACCTCCGATTGAGCTGAAATTTGGGTATGTGCTAGACCTCATTGCATACTTCCATATGCCCAGAGGTTGCTCGGGACAATCTTGATAATTCTCGATGATGCCCAGGGCTGAAAGTGTACACTCAACCATGACTCCAACCCTTTAAATATGAGCATATTCTCCCAAATTTTTCTTTTATTTTCATTGGACTATACATTTATACTACTCTAATCATCCTACATTGTTCATTACACTGTGTTAGTATACATGCTTATTGAAACAAGTTTGGGGGATTTGTGCTTTACGTGCTTTTCATTTCATGCGATTTCTCATTGTATAACAAGATGGCTAATGCTAGCTATTTTCTAACTTTGCAGGATGCCACCAAAACGAACTTCAAAAGGGAAGGAGAAGGTTAGCTCATCATCTGGCACAGCACGCACTCGCGTGCTTGAAGGAGGTATACAAAGATTTTTGACCATCGAGGCAGTAGCCCGTTATGAAAACATAGTGAGTCGTTGGACAGTGACACCAGAACGGGCTGTTAAGTTGGAAGACTTTCCTGGTTTCGAGCTAACTACTTTGGTGCAGAACTATGGATGGAATAAAATAGTGGAGCAGCCACATCGGAGTTATGAATTGTTGGTGGGGAAATTTTATGCCAACTTTAATATAGACATTGACACACCAGGGTCCGACCACCTGCATCAAACTTGGGTCCGGGGAA